AAAGCTAATGTTAAAATGTTTTAAAATATAGACAAGCTTTGCAAAATATTGTGCTAATGATTTAAATCTTAATGTCAAGTAGTTGTTTTCTACATATAGATGAATTATGAAAGTCAACTGAGACAAAAGTTGAAAACTTAAATTAGGGAAGAAATAGTAAAATTATTAAAGATCTGCTCAAAATGTGCATAGACTCAAAATATACCTGTGTTCAGGCTTTCAAAAAATAATTTCCACAATATAAAAACTTCTTAGACAAAGACAAGATGATGAGTCTATGTTTTTCTTCTAAATTATATATGATTTGTTCCCAAGACCTGATTTGAGAGTTTGAATTGTTCTTAGGTGCCAGTGAAGTTGTCTAATAAACCACGGTATGATACAGTGTTTCTTGGATTTGAGTACAGTACCAATAAAGTCCTATTATAAGGAAAACATTTTCACAGACACCCTCTTACTTAAAACACTTAAATATTCTTAGAATGGTTGTACAGTCATAAAATAATCAGGACTGCAAAATCAATACTATTCAAATCAACCTTACAGCACTAATACACTTTGATGAAACAAAGTCACTAACTACTTCAGTTGAGTTTTTCACACCCATAATTCATATCTATCTAGGTAGTAGCAAGAATTTTCTATTTAAACTTTTTCAGTACCTTCATTTCTCTGTATAAACTGTTATTTTTCCCTTTATTTAGTACAAATACATCATTTAGATATTCTTTCTCTCTGTTCTTTTATTAGGTACCAGCAGTAAAAGTAGTAGTACTTGATGACAATGAAGTAGTAAATATAGACAAAAACATGAGTACTGATATAATAAAACAATTCAACTTCTGAGTGTTTACCCAGAGGACACAAAAACACTAACTCAAAAAGATATCTCCCTGGGAAGAGCCAAAGGGATCGGGTCGAGAGGGAGGTGGGAGGGGGGATCGGGATGGGGAATACATGTAAATCCATGGCTAATTCATGTCAATGTATGACAAAAACCACTACAATATTGTAAAGTAATTAGCCTCCAACTAATAAAAATAAATGGAAAGAAAAAGATATCTCCACCCCATGTTCACTGCAGCATTATTATAATGTTATTATTGTAATAACCAAGACATGGAAAAACCTAAGTGTCCATCTTTCGATGAATGAATAGAGAAAATATGGAATATTATTCCACATTATTCCATGGAATATTATTCAGCTATTAAAATGAAGGAAATCCTGCCATTTGCAACAACATGAATGGACCTTTAGGGCATTATGCTAAGTCAAAGAAAGACAAATAACTTGTGATCTCCCTTGTGTGTGGAATCTTTACAACAAACACACACTTCATAGATACAGAGCACAGATTGGGGGAGGGGAGGACAAAATTGGGTGAAGGTGGTCAAAAGGTACAAACTTCTAATTACAGAATAAGTCCTGGGGATGTAATATAGTATGGCGTGACTACAAGTAATAAGACTGTGCTGGGTATTTGAAAGTTGCTAAGAGAGCAGGGGGCTTCCCAGTGGTAAAAGAATCCACATGCCAAGTCAGGAGATGCAGGTTCAATCAGTGGATGGAGAAGATCCCTTGGAGTAGGAAGTGGCAACCCATTCCTGTATTCTTGCCTGAAAAATTCCGTGACACAGGAGCCTGGCGGGCTACAGTCCATGGGGTTGAAAAGAATCAGACACAACTGAGCACACACGCCACTGCAAGAGAGCAGCTCTTAAAAGACCTCATCACACACACACACTCACAACAACTGTAGTGATAGATGTTAATTAGACTTACTCTGGTGATCATTTTGCAATATATACACGTGTCACATCAGAACTTGAATGTCTCCCTGTTCTACCTTCTTTTTCTCTACTCTGTAATCTTATGGCTTTGCTATTCTTTGTTTGTGTCTTTCTTAGGTAGTCTTTCTCCCTGTAGTCTTTTTCCATCACCACCAGGCTTATATCCTGTCAGCTTATTATATGCCTAACAGCTTTATTCAGCTATAATTCACATAATGTACAATTCACCCATTTGAAGTGTACAATTCAATGATTTTAGTACATTCACAGTGCTGTGCAATTATCACCACAATCAAATTTAAAACATTTTCATCACCTTGTGAAGAAACCTTATATCCATTAGGAGTCACTCATTTACTCCCCAGTCCTCCCAGCTGTAAGCAACCACTACTCTATTTTCTGTTTTTTATGAATTTGCCATTTCTGGAGATTTCATATGAATGAAATCATACAGTATGTAGTCTCACTAGCTTCTTTCAGTTAGTGTAATCTCAAGATTCATCCATCCATTTTGTAGTATGTACCAGTACTTCATTCTTTCTATGACCATATTATTCCCTTGTATAGGTATATCACATTTTGTTTCTCCATTAATCAAGCATTTGTATTGTTCACTTTTTTGCTATTATCAATAGTACTGCTATGAATGTTCACCTACATGTTTTTGTGTGGACAAACGTGTTCAATTCTCTCTTGCTGGGAGTGGAATTGCTGGGTTATGTGTTAACTTTTTGCCTTTTCATACTGTTTAGGGGGAAAAGGGAGAAGAGGGCAGCAGAGGATGAGATGGTTAGATAGTATCACTGACTCAGTGGACATGGATTTGAGCAAACTCCGGGAGATAGTGAAGGACAGGGAAGCCTGGTGTGCTGCAGTCCATGGGGTCGCAAAGAATTGGACATGACTTAGCTAAGGAAACAAGAACAAGTGTTAATTTGAAGTCCAAGTTTGTGACTGCCAAAGTGTTTTCCACAGTGTCTGCATCATTTTATATTCTTACCAGCAGTATATGAAGGTTCCAGTTTCTCCATATGCTGGCCAACACTTGTTATTAATCTATTCTTTTTAGTTCAAACCATCCTAGTGAGTGTGAAATGGCATCTTGATATTTTCAAGTATTTCATCTTGTAAAATGCACATAACATACATTTTACTATTGTAATTCTTTTAATCCACAGATTTTTTTAATTTTTGTAGAATTAACTCTTAAAAGATAGCTGAATTTTAGATGTATAAGAGCTGAAACAAGATATATATATATATATATATTATAATTATTTATACATGCAGTCTCCAAAGCATGAATGGATTATGCTCCAAGAGGTCTTTCATTAGTCAGTTACTTGAAATTCATTTTCCCCTGCATAAGACCAGTCTATTGAATTTGGGCATAGTATCCCTACCTGAGTCAGTAGCTGAGGTGGAGAGTTCTCTTCTGCTTATTTTGGTGTCAACTCCGAGTTGCAGAACGTCGAGACCCTTTGGAGTTGCTATTATAGGAATGCTAAGATACTCCTTACATATTTTGCTAGATATTCCATTTCTCTAACAAATGACTTAATTTCTCATAGAATTCTTTGCCTTGCCACCAAAGCTCTGAAGTGACGATCTGAGAGTTTTTTGTGGTCATCATTTTGGGGAAGCTTAACTGCTTTATTGGGTAATGTAGCTTTAAAGTTATGATTCTAGTGGCAGCTGAGAGTGTTTATGAATGCACTGATTGAGGCTCCTTGGTGGCTTACTATTGGCCTCAAAAGCTATCTCTGTAGTCAGAGGCAGTAGATATGACTTGTTTATATAGACTACGTGTACATGTAGTACTAATGTAGGCCTTTTGTACCAAACAATATTGTTTATGATCATTTAATAAAAGGGTTCTATATGAATTTCAAAGGCTGTACAGTGGTGACTCTTAAAAAATACTTTCCATTCTTCATAGCAGTAGGTCCTTAATGCTGAGCAAGAATTGTCATGAATCTATGTACTTGACATATGCATTAACCTTAACTCTAGTTTAGGGATAAGCAATAACTATTCAAATAATTCAGTTCAGAGGTTTCAATAGCCACACCTCAGAACTAGGGACATTTAAGTACAGAATTCACTAGAGAATTTTATAATGGTAATTCAGACATTTCTACCAGTAACTTCTTCTGGAGTTAAGTTTTTTTTTTTTTCCTTTGGTCTAATGATTAAATGATTTGGAATTGGAAGAAGCGAGAAAGCTTGCTTTTGCTAGTCTGAGGATAATCAGTTAGCTGTTCATCTAAATACTTCAGATTATTGATGTTTAAGTTTTAACTTTTTTAAATAGCTGAAGTTTTTTAAGCATACTTATCTTTATGTAAAAAAAAATATGATATGTGAATGAGAATTCAGAACAGAAGTTATTGTTTTAAAAAAGCAATTTAAATGTTTTTTGAAAATGTTTAAATGTTTTATAAAGCCCAAAGAAACATTAGATCATAAACTTGTGAAAGTAAGTACTATGATTTATCTATCAATTTTTCCCCTGGAATTGAGCACATTACATTGAGTGCAGAAGGAAATGAGTAATTTTTTAATGAATTAATCTATGATAAAATGTGTCCAACTAATTTTCTGTTCCTTTCAGTCAACATTGGTAAGAGACCAAAAAAAAGCCTAAAAATTTCCTTTGAATGCATTTTAAAAATAATATTTCTGAAATGTGAAGAATAACAGTTAAAAATTAATGTTACTTAGCATTTCAAACTCAGATTTACTAAAACATGTATTACAGGGTCATTACTCATTTTTATAGGATGCCTTTCAAAAATTATTTGTAATTAAATAATTTATCAGATTTCTTCAAGTTATAAATGCTATTTATATTCAGGATTTTATTTAAAAATTTTTCATTCAGGAATGAACCAGTTATGGAAAATGAGTAGTATGTATATATCAAACTCAAAAGGTAAACTGTTTATAGAGAAGAATATTTAATGTGTGAGCATTTAATTTAACAAATCCACCCTAATAGTAAGTATCTTTACTTTTATAGGGCAGAAAACTAAGACCTAACTTGCTACCTTGTCTGGAGTCACATGGTGAGTTTCTGGAAATTGAAATTAGACCCAATGATTTTTGAAACCCAAATATCATGTTTCAATATATTTGGTGTTACTTAAAGTGACTCATGAAATTGATTGATGTCATGTGTTAGTGCTTAGGTGACTCTGCAACTTGATGGACGACGACACCTCTTTTCAACCAAAAAGTAAGTATTGCTGCTACAAGTGATACTAGTCTACTTGGTTCTTGTATTGATAACCTTGCTTCATAAGAAAATGTGAGAGAGACAGAGGTGGGCATATTGAAAAAAAACACAAAAAAACTCTTAAATTTATTGTAGTAATCTGTGTAGTTGCTAAGTTGTGTCTGACTCTTTGCGACCCCATGGACTGTAGCCTGCCAGGCTCCCCTGTCCATGGGATTCTCCAGACAAGAATACTGGAGTGGGTTGCCATTTCCTCTTCCAGGATTGTAGTAATACTATATAAAAAAAGAACTACATACAATAAAAATGTCAGTAAAATAGAAATGAGGTGTTTCTTCCTCATCTCCAGAGTTAACTATTATATATGTTTGGTATACATAATCACAAACTTTTTTCTATGTGTAGACAAAAATATAAATTATTACCAAATAAGATCATATTATAGATACTATTATGTGCCCTTAAAATTTTTTACTCAGCAGTCTATCTTGAATATAGTGATAGTGTCAGAACCCAGTTAATAAGAATATGAAAGACCTATGTATCTACATATTAAGACCATGGTATTAACACAGATATAATTTTTTTGTTATCAGTATACATGGGTCTCTCATTTTTTTTAATTTGGCATTCCCTGACTTTGCCTAGTTTCTTAGCCCTTATATTACCATATTACCTTATATTACCAATTACCAATTACCTTATATTGCCAGTTAAGTGCTTACTGCATATCCAATAGACTGCTGTGTATAGGAGGAAATGTAAAGGGAGAAGAAACTATGTTCTCTACTCTCAAAGGAGCTTACTTTGGAGTTAGACATGTACGGTGATATATGGCAGAAAAGAAACCAATATTACAAAGCAATTATCCTTCAATTAAAAATAAATAAATTTTAAAAAAGAAACAGTGAGGGACTTCCCTGGTGGTCCAGTAGTTAGAGTCCACTTGCCAACAGGGGACACAGGTTCGATCCCTGGTCCAGGAAAATGGGGACAGCTAAGCCGGCTCGCCCAAGCTGTTGGGCCAAACATGGGCCCTCTAGAGCCCATGCTCTGCCACAAATGAAGCCACCAAAATGAGAAGCCCGCTCATCACAACTAGAGAAAGCCCATGTGCAACAATGAAGGCTCAGTGCAGCCAAATAAATAAAATCAATTAGATTAAAAAATAAATGAAAATAAATAAATAAAAGATAAATTTTAAATAGCATTATCTAATTTAAAAAAAAAGGATATCATCATCTAAGTCAGAACCCTGGAGTGTTATTAGTTTGTTTTGTTTTTATTTTTTCAAAGTTGTCACCCCATCCACATCTCACTCCATATATCTAGCTAAGAGTGAGAGAGCAAGCAATAAAGGAGGTGTGCATACTGGGCCTCTGTACTCCCTGTTTTTTTTCCTCACAACATCCACTTTCAATAGTTTAGTTCTTAGAAATAATTACTTCCATGTTTCTAAAATTTTAAAATACTGCTGTCTCTTGAATCATCAGTTTTTGCCATTATCTAATGATTTCCTTCAAGGAATAGCAGGATTTTAATTTTCTTACACTTAACCACCCCCTAAGCATCTCCCAATGTAGTTATTTCTTAATTTCTAGTTAAGTCATATTTGATGTTTTTATTGTGATGACCACATAACAAACATTGTTTTCTGATGTATCTAGCAAATTAAATTAATTTTTTGGTTTTTAAAATTCACTAAATTTTACTAGAATCTATAGCCAAGTCCTCTCAAACCCTTCTGTCACCTCTTAACTTGATTTTCTACATGGTAAAACTTGTCAGATAATCTAACAGTTTGATTGTGTGTGTGTGTGTGCACGCGTGCACACACGCATGCACACATGCGTGTGTTTGGTCTCCTAGAGACATTCCTCCTGGGAGTAATGTTCAATTCTATTCTGGCAGGTTGCTCTCTAGACTTGAAAAAGCTATTGCCCTGGGACTTTCTTTTGTCTTTGTATTGTGTTGGATGTTATGTTTTCTGCATTCCATTTTCTTCCTCCTTAAGTCTCATATTTTGATATGGTCTTCCTAAGAAAATAAGGGTGAATGGGAGGTAAATTTTGTGTGGTGTTGCTGGCCTTTATTCCTTTTTTTTGCTATCTAATGCATGTCCATTTATTTTATACTTACTAAAGAAATCACCCACCCTCTGCCCCATCCCCCCCAAAATAGTCTCTTTTTACACCTAAAAACTAAAACCAAATGAAGATAGACAAGTTAATTTCAGTACAGTTATTTTTCAATGAAGCTGTCATAATTAGAGTTTAAATTTCTTACAAGTGACCAATGTCCAAGTGCTGTGTTTAGTTGCTCAGTCCAGTCTGACTCTTCACGACCCCATGGACCGTAGCCCACCAGGCTCCTCTGTCCCTGAGGATTCTCTAGGCAAGAATACTGGAGTGGGTTGCCATGCCCTCCTCCCGGGGATCTTCCCAACCCAGGGATTTAACCCAGGCCTCCCACATTGTAGGTGGATTCTTTAGCATCTGAGCCACCAGGGAAGCCCAATGTCCGAGTGACTTATAAGGAAATCCTGATTATATAGGGAAATCCTGATTATTGACCGTATTACAAGTTAACAAATTCTAGTACAAAAATAGCCTGTGTGCTGGAATAGGCTTTCCTTTTACATAGGTCTCAGGTTTGTCTATATAATCTGCTAATGTCTTGGGTTTTTTTCTTCACAAATGGCTGTTTCATCATAGGTGAAGCAGCCTGGCACCCCTGATGGTGTCTGGGCTGGGTGTGCCTGGGGCCGTGCTGGAGATAGCAGGCCTGGGCATGCATCACTGGTCTGGGGGCAGCAGGGCAGGGACCCAACCCCACTCCAAGCCCTGGAAGGAGGGAAGACTTGTGGGCAGAGCTGCCTAGGACAGAGGCTCTGTGCAGGACAGCTCACCTCCTGTGGCATCAGTGGCCAGTGCAGCCCTGCCCTCCGTGTGTGGGGAAAGTGGGGAGCAGGCTACTTGTCTGTAAGGAGGTTGAGCTCCTGGCACTCAGTGAACAGGTGCTGGAAGCTGAAGTTCTGTGGACTCCCACTGACTTCAGTGGAAGTGTGATCCAGCCCCAGTAAGTCCTTGCACTATTTCCAGGAGTTGGTATTCAAACCCTTTGTTCACGAGGTAATGCGCGTGAGAGGAGGTACCGCGAAAGAGGGGGTAGCATGAGAGAGGAGATACTGTGAGAGGATGTACCGTGCGAGAGGATGTACCGTGCAAGAAGACATACCGCGTGCACGAGAGGACATACCGTGCGTGCGAGGACGTACTGTGCGAGAGCAGGTACCACGTGGACAGAAGGTACTATATGAGAGGACATACAGTGCATAGCGTAGCCAGTGGTGGAGCCACAAAAGAGGGGTGTACTGCAAGAGAGGTGGGTACCGCAAGAGAGGATGTACCGAGCGAGAGTGGGTACCACGTGTAGAGGCAGTACTGGGTGAGAGGACATAACTGCGCCTAGGCCAGTGGTGCTATCGCAAGAGAGGGGGTACCGGGAGTGGGGGGAGGGGTGCCGCGAGAGTGGAAGTACCGCGAGAGTGGAAATACCGCGAGAGGGAACTCCACGTGTGAGAGCGCAAAAGATGTGTAGAGGCAGTACTGTATGAGAGGACATAGCGTGCATAACGGAGCCAGGGGCAGTACCACAAAAGAGGGGTGTATTGCAAGAGAGGTGGGTACCGCAAGAGAGGACGTGTAGAGGCAGTACTGGGTGAGAGGACATCCTGCACATAGGCCAGTGGTGCTATCGCAAGAGAGTGGGTGCCTCGAGGTGGGGGAGGGGTACCGCGAGAGTGGAAGTACCGCGAGAGTGGAAATACCGCGAGAGGGAACGCCACGTGCGAGAGCGCGAATGACGTGTAGAGGCAGTACTGTATGCGAGGACATAGCGTGCATAGCGGAGCCAGGGGCGGTACCACAAAAGAGGGGTGTATTGCAAGAGAGGTGGGTACCGCAAGAGAGGACGTGTAGAGGCAGTACTGGGTGAGAGGACATCCTGCGCATAGGCCAGTGGTGCTATCGCAAGAGAGTGGGTGCCTCGAGGTGGGGGAGGGGTACCGCGAGAGTGGAAGTACCGCGAGAGTGGAAATACCGCGAGAGGGAACTCCACGTGCGAGAGCGCGAATGACGTGTAGAGGCAGTACTGTATGCGAGGACATAGCGTGCATAGCGGAGCCAGGGGCGGTACCACAAAAGAGGGGTGTATTGCAAGAGAGGTGGGTACCGCAAGAGAGGACGTGTAGAGGCAGTACTGGGTGAGAGGACATCCTGCGCATAGGCCAGTGGTGCTATCGCAAGAGAGTGGGTGCCTCGAGGTGGGGGAGGGGTACCGCGAGAGTGGAAATACCGCGAGAGTGGAAATACCGCGAGAGGGAACGCCACGTGCGAGAGCGCGAATGACGTGTAGAGGCAGTACTGTATGCGAGGACATAGCGTGCATAGCGGAGCCAGGGGCGGTACCACAAAAGAGGGGTGTATTGCAAGAGAGGTGGGTACCGCAAGAGAGGACGTGTAGAGGCAGTACTGGGTGAGAGGACATCCTGCGCATAGGCCAGTGGTGCTATCGCAAGAGAGTGGGTGCCTCGAGGTGGGGGAGGGGTACCGCGAGAGTGGAAGTACCGCGAGAGTGGAAATACCGCGAGAGGGAACGCCACGTGCGAGAGCGCGAATGACGTGTAGAGGCAGTACTGTATGCGAGGACATAGCGTGCATAGCGGAGCCAGGGGCGGTACCACAAAAGAGGGGTGTATTGCAAGAGAGGTGGGTACCGCAAGAGAGGACGTGTAGAGGCAGTACTGGGTGAGAGGACATCCTGCACATAGGCCAGTGGTGCTATCGCAAGAGAGTGGGTGCCTCGGGGTGGGGGAGGGGTACCGCGAGAGTGGAAGTACCGCGAGAGTGGAAATACCGCGAGAGGGAACGCCACGTGCGAGAGCGCGAATGACGTGTAGAGGCAGTACTGTATGCGAGGACATAGCGTGCATAGCGGAGCCAGGGGCGGTACCACAAAAGAGGGGTGTATTGCAAGAGAGGTGGGTACCGCAAGAGAGGACGTGTAGAGGCAGTACTGGGTGAGAGGACATCCTGCGCATAGGCCAGTGGTGCTATCGCAAGAGAGTGGGTGCCTCGAGGTGGGGGAGGGGTACCGCGAGAGTGGAAGTACCGCGAGAGTGGAAATACCGCGAGAGGGAACGCCACGTGCGAGAGCGCGAATGACGTGTAGAGGCAGTACTGTATGCGAGGACATAGCGTGCATAGCGGAGCCAGGGGCGGTACCACAAAAGAGGGGTGTATTGCAAGAGAGGTGGGTACCGCAAGAGAGGACGTGTAGAGGCAGTACTGGGTGAGAGGACATCCTGCGCATAGGCCAGTGGTGCTATCGCAAGAGAGTGGGTGCCTCGAGGTGGGGGAGGGGTACCGCGAGAGTGGAAGTACCGCGAGAGTGGAAATACCGCGAGAGGGAACGCCACGTGCGAGAGCGTGAATGACGTGTAGAGGCAGTACTGTATGCGAGGACATAGCGTGCATAGCGGAGCCAGGGGCGGTACCACAAAAGAGGGGTGTATTGCAAGAGAGGTGGGTACCGCAAGAGAGGACGTGTAGAGGCAGTACTGGGTGAGAAGGCATCCTGCTCATAGACCAGTGGTGCTATCGCAAGAGAGGCGGGGGGGGGGGTGGTGCCTCGAGGTGGGGGGAGGGGTACCGCGAGAGTGGAAATATCGCGAGAGAGAACGTCCCGTGCGAGTGCGGGAACGTCGTGTAGAGGCGTTACCGTGTGAGAGGACATATTGTGCGTAGCGGAGCCAGTCGTGGTACTCATAGCTGGAGCGGAGGATTAGCGCTGCTGCGACCTGACTGTCCAGGTAGGCTAGGGTGGTTTATTCTAGCCCCGTGTAAGGCACGGAGAAGAGCTAGGCCGCCTGATTCCCCAGCAGGTGGAGGCACGGCCCTGGCCTGTGGCCTGTGGCTAACGGTCACATCATGGCCTGTGGCTAACGGTCACATCATGGCCTGTGGCTAACGGTCACATCATGGCGTCCTGGGCCGGTAGGCAGCTCCTGAAGTCTGCGCACTGGCCCAGTGAGTCCTATTTGTCAGAGACCAGGTTCCACACAGACAGTGATGGGCTGAAGTAGTTGACCTTGCTGTCCAACAGGTTCATCACCGGAATCTCGTGCTGCGTCAGCAAGACCTGAGACACCAATATGTCGCTTCCTGCCGGTACGGAGTGGAGCAACTCCTCGTTGCTAATCTTTATTCTTTCTTTTTTTTAAATTCTTGATGAAAGTATATAATTTTATGCTTGACAAAAATTGTCTGGGTATAGAATGCTAAATTGAAAAAATTATTTTCACTTAAGATTTTAAAAATCATTTTTCTAACTTTCTTCTCTCAGATCTTAGGATATTCTGTTTATCTCCAGCATTTTGAAATTTCATGATTTGTCCATCTACTGTAGGTTTTTTCTTGATTATTGTGGTAGGTGCTAGTGGGTCCTTTTATCTGAAGAATTTATGTCCTTTAGAACTGGGAATTTTTTCTTGTATTTTTCCTTTTATTATATTCCCTGTCCTTTTTCTTTCTTTTTTTTTTTTTTCTGGGACTTCTTTTAGGTGAGTTGTAGTTTTGAAACTGGTTTATCACAAATTTTTCTTCTCTATTCAGTATAGGTATATTTTTTGTCATTTAGTTCCCCTTATGGGCTATTTGGGGCTTCCTGAGTGGCTCAGCAGTGAAGAATCCAGCTACACTGTGGGAGCCGCTGGAGAGATACCCTGGAGGAGGGCAAGGCAACCCCCTCCAGTATTCTTGGCGGGAGCATCCCTGGGACAGAGGAACCTGGGAGGCTACTGTCCGTAGGGTCACAAAGAGTCGGACATCACTGAAGCAATTTAGCATTGCACCATGTGTGCGTGCGCCAATGGCATGGGATATTTACTCAATTTTGGCACTTTATTTTTCTTCCCATGGCATGGGATATTTACTCAATTTTGGCAATTTATTTTTCTTCACTGAATTTGGGCTATTTTGTTTTTAATCTTTTAGCTCTGAATGTTAATTTTTATAGCATTCCTGTCTTACATCTTTAAAATGCTGATTATAATCTCTAATATTTTTTTGTCTTCAGTACTACCTGTGTTTTAATGTCCTTTGACCTGTTTTATTGTGTTGGTCTTTCACATTGGAGATTTTAATCATATTTCTGGTGCTTATTGGGTGTCTGTCCAATATTTAAAAATGAGACATTTAAGGTGCTTCCTGGTAGGTCTTTGAGATTGGTCAGCACTTACAGACAGGTGGTACCCACAGTATGTTCTTTACTTAGTTTCTTCAAGTGAGAAATGCTGCATTGGGATGGAATAAGCTTCACTTAATTATCCTATTTTTGTTCTAGCACTTCATCCCTGTGTTGCCCTGTGCCTAGTATCTCTGAATCTGGTTCAGTTTTCCTAGTATCTCTCTCACCTGTTGCTACTTATTCTCAGTTTATCTCCCTTTTATTATTATAATACAGAAGTATCTGGGGTTTTTTTCGGGTAAGAGTTAGGTACACTTTTTGTGAATATAATTATATTCTAGCAATAAAATTAAAAACGCACTTTGATTGTATTTGATTGTTCCTAAAATTTATTAGCCACTAAATAACTACTGTCATCCATTATCTTCCTAGTTAGCTTAATTTTACTAGTTTAGATCTTAGAGATTGGGTTCTGAGTTTCATATTTTTGTTACCGTTTCTGACTTTAAAATTTCAGTTCAATTATTGCTATTAGACTTAGTAAAGTACATCTTAAATATACTATGGATTACAAGAAAATATTTAGAAAAATAAAATTTGATTCTCTCTTTCTGAAAATTAGATAAATCCAAAATGGAAGAACTGTTTATGGAATGTGAAGAAGAAGAGTTGGAACCTTCGCAGAAGAAAGTAGAAGCTGAGGAAGATGATGATGAGCTGATCTTTGTTGGAGCGGTACCAGGTTCAAAATCATCTGCTTCAAGTAAGCATTTACTTTCAGTGAAGCAAAGTTTTAACAGATGTTGTTCCTAGTGGAAAATGTGGGACTCTCTTATATGTCCTTGTTATACTATAAGGTGCTGGACGTGAGAGGAGAATATAGCAGTAAGAATTTGTGAGAATCAGAAGGAGAATGTGGTTAGGAACTTGAATAAGGAGGTGTGAGAGGTAAAAATATATGAGAGAAAAGGAAAATGTTAACTGAGTTACCTAGACGTTAAGATTGCCTAACAGCATTGTAGACCTTTTGAGATTAGAAATCATAATTTTATTGGAGCCAAGTCATCTATTTACCTGTTATCTGTTAATTTTTATTTTTCTCCCCTAAGCCCAAATGTACCTAGAAAAGGAAGTGTTGGAATGCTTTGTTTAAAACACCAGACTACTAAATGAGTTTGTGTTAGTCTCTGATGGAGTTTCTGATACCCATTCAACTGCCTCATCAGTGTCCTTCTGATTTATGTCTACAAAATAAAAAGGCTCTGGTTTGTATATCAACATGAGCAGTAGTTTCTGGCCACACCCATCTTTCAGCAAGTCCTGATTATATTCATGAAGAATATACAGTGACTTGATTTTCAGCCAGTATACTAGGATGATGCAGGCAGTCAGCACACTTAATCCTCATGGCTTTCTGGGAGAATGTCAGATACCTTTGTGGATTTCTATTAATTAGATTTGACATTGTTATAATGTAAAAATGAAGATATTAATGACACTTATTAAATGTCCAATCAGTTCCCTGGTGGCTCAGAAAGTAAAGAATCTGCCTGCAATGCAGGAAACGTGGATTTGATCCTTGGGTTGGGAAGATAGATCCCCTGGAGAAGGGAATGGCAATCCACTACTCCAATATTCCTGCCCAGAAAATTCCATGGAAAGAGGAGCCTGGTGGGATACAGTCTATGAGTGAGTGAGTGAAGTTGCTCAGTTGTGTCTGACTCTTTGCGACCCCATGGACTGTAACCTACCAGGTTCCTTCATCCATGGGATTTTCCAGGCAAGAATACTGGAGTGGGTTGCCATTTCCTTCTGCAGGAGATCTTCCTGACCCAGGGGTTGAACCCGGGTCTCTCGCATTGTAGGCAGACGCTTTACCATCTGAGCCACCAGGGAAGTCCAAACGGAGTCCGTGGGGTCACCACAGAGTCGGACACAACTGCGTGGCTAATGCTAAAACAAACAACAACAACAAAAAGGTCAATTAGAATTGTGTAAAATTCAGAGGAATAACATTTAGTTTCAGTGGTGAATGAAGAAACAGTCTTTCTCATTATATTTACCTCTGTTAAGCCAGGAGAATTTACCGAAGAATGTAGCCAGCATACCAATATTTTCTTACTATGGCTGTGCATATTGGTGTGGTTTAGAGAAAGATTTTTAATTTTCTGAAGGCCTAGTTCTTGTTTCTCTGTCTCTAAACTTGGAATAGCACTTCTATTCAGTTATCAAAGGTAGAATAATTTAGTTTAATTCTCAGTATCACTTCCTGTGGCAAACTGAGAGATGCTAAGTGGAGTGCCACTTCAATGAAGTAGGCATGTTGATATATTTGCTGCTGATAGAGAAGCGGAATATTAAATTATTGTAATGTTTCCTAGTCACTGTGATGATTTTTATACTGAAGTATTAACCATATTTAAAAGTTATTCAAATCATCTTACTGACATCAAATATATATCAATTAGTGATAACTATTACTCAACTAGAATAATGTGTATTAGTAGTGATTCTGTCAAAAAGACATTTGACCCCGGTGAAATTTCTTTTCTAAATAACCCAGAATTTAAATGATTCTATTAATGTCTTGTGTGTGAGTCATAAAATATTTTAGCATATGGAACATGAGTCTATAAAAGGGGGAATAAAAACTGTGTTTGATGGACTACAGTCACCAAAAAGTACTATAAAAATTATTTAATGGCTTGGATAAATACATATCTTGAATTTCTAAAAGAAAACAATACCAGCTTATTTGAACGAACAGATTTTTCTTCTAAAAGACTTTCATAGTGCTTAGTCATAGAGCACTTCATATGGTAAAACAGCCCTACTTTTGTGTGACTATACAATTATTTTATGAGATCTAGTTATTTTCTACTAGGAGTGCAAAAGGGAAATTTTTGATGTCTTACGGGATTTTTTTTCTGCTTTGTACCTTCTTGATTAGCAATTTTAGGTAAATCTCTATTCCAAATTTTCATTTGATTCCTCAATAACATAGAAGTTATGGGTTCACATGCATACAACAGTGAGCAGTCTTAGACTGATCCAGAAGATCACATCAGGCTCAAATTGACTTTTGGTGTAGTGAGTAGATATGAGCTACTTTTATAAACTCTATAGATTCAATTTAGTCTATGATGGTATTCCTGTCAGTAGTCAAGAGCAGTTGTACAGTTAATCCATCAGCTTGCCCATGATGAAACTTTCAGGCTTTTAGGGGTGTGAATGTGACATGGAGATTGGGAAAGGGCTTGATTTCAAGTCACAGTAACCCAAGTTTGTATACAACCCTGTCACCATTAAAAGAAATCAATATGCTTCAAGTATTACTTATATATAGATTTTTTGGGGGAAGTTTTTCTATTATTATAATATATACTTCCACTGAAATAAAAAAAATTTTAAATAAATACAATTTTCATAGATACTGTGAACAGGGGTAGTCCCAGCTCATCTTCAAAGGAAATAAAGAATGAGACAGTCAGTCAAGGTATAGTATTATTGTATTACTTTAAAATTAAAGTAAAATATTGCGGTAGAATTGGTTGTGTAGAAAAATAGTCAGCACTTGTGTAATTTTAAAATACAGGTATTGCTGATGCTTTCATGCCTTTAGGTGACGAATTCGAAGACTCGACATCAAGTCCAGAGGTTGCCTTTCCTAGATTTCATCCTGAGTCTAAATCTTCACAAAGCTCTGATACCATTCAGAACTTGGCTCAATGTGTAAGTGTTTTTAAAACTACACAATTAAGCACAGGGACACATTCAGATATTATAATACCCAGTTAGAATTGTGGACTATCATAGCTAGTTATCATCCCAGTAGAAACATAATCACTGTCAGAAAATGTCACCATTTTATGATAGTGCAACTGATACCCAAAATAATAGCAGCAGGAACTAACTATTCAACCTGTCAATAAATCAGATACTATGCTCAAATTGGTATAATATTGAAAACTATGCTGTCTAAAAGTGATTTAAAAGGTATAATCAGTAATGAATATTGCATAATGGCAAAATTCTTAAGATAGTAAGCTGAACTGGGTATTCTTAATTGGGAAGATTTCTCCAAGGTCGTTACTGCTGTTTAATTTGAAAACATACTTTCATAGTTTTGTTTTTAATTTTTTTTCTTTGTTTTTATTAGTTGGAGGCTAATTACTTTACAATATTGTAGTGGTTTTTGCCATACATTGAAATGAATCAGCCATGGATTTACATGTGTTCTCCATCCTGAACCCCTCTCCCACCTCCCTCTCCACCCCTTCCCTCTGGGTCATCCCAGTGCACCAGCCCTGAGCACTTGTCTCATGCATCCACCCTGGACTGGCAGTCTGTTTCACACTTGACAATATACATGTTTCAATGCTATTCTCTCAGAACATCCCACCCTCGCCTTCTCCCACAGAGTCCGAAAGTCTGTTCTATGCATCTATGTCTCTCTTTCTGTCTTGCATATAGGGTTATCATTGCCATCTTTCTAAATTCCATATATATGTGTTAGTATACTGTATTGGTGTTTATCTTTCTGGCTTACTTCACTCTGTATAATGGGCTCCAGTGTCATCCATCTCATTAGAACTAATTCAAATGTATTCTTTTTAATGGCTGAGTAATATTCCATTGTGTATATGTACCATAGCTTTCTTATCCATTCGTCTGCTAATGGGCATCTAGGTTGCTTCCATGTCCTGGCTATTATAAACAGTGCTGCGATGAACATTGGGGTACACGTGTCTCTTTCAGTTCTGGTTTCCTCGGTGTGTATGCCCAGGAGTAGGATTGCTGGGTTGTATAGCAGTTCTATTTCCAGTTTTTAAAGGAATCTCCACACTGTTCTCCATAGTGTCTGTACTAGTTTGCATTCCCACCAACAGTGTAAGAGGGTTCCCTTTTCTCCACACCCTCTCCAGCATTTATTGCTTGTAGTCTTTTGGATAGCAGCCATCCTGACTGGCGTGTAATGGTACCTCATTGAGGTTTTGATTTGCATTTCTCTGATAATGAGTGATGGTGAGCACCTTTTCATGTGTTTGTTAGCCGTCTGTGTGTCTTCCTTGGAGAAATGTCTGTTTAGATCTTTGGCCCATTTTTTGATTGGGTCATTTATTTTTCTGGAATTGAGCTGCAGGAGTTGCTTGTATATTTTTGAGATTAATCCTTTATCTGTTGCTTCGTTTGCTATTATTTTCTCCCATTCTGAAGGCTGTCTTTTCACCTTGCTTATAGTTTCCTTTGTTGTGCAAAAGCTTTTAAGTTTAATTAGGTCCCATTTGTTTATTTTTGCTTTTATTTCCAGTATTCTGGGAGTTGGGTCATAGAGGATCTTGTGATTTATGTCGGAGAGTGTTTTGCCTATGTTCTCCTCTAGGAGTTTTATAGTTTCTGGTCTCACATTTAGATCTTTAATCCATTTTGAGTTTACTTTTGTGTATGGTGTTAGAAAGTGTTCTAGCTTCATTCTTTTACAAGGGGTTGACCAGTTTTCCCAGCACCACTTGTTAAAGAGGTTGTCTTTTTTCCATTGTATATCCTTGCCTCCTTTGTCGAAGATAAGGTGTCCATAGGTATGTGGATTTTATCTCTGGGCTTTCTATTCTGTTCCATTGATCTGTATTTCTGTCTTTGTGCCAGTCCCATACTGTCTTGATGACTGTGGCTTTGTAGTAGAGCCTGAAGTCAGGCAGGTTGATTCCTCCAGTTCCATTCTTCTTTCTCAGGATTGCTTTGGCTGTTCGAGGTTTTTTGTATTTCCATACAAATTGTGAAATTATTTGTTCTAGTTCTGTGAAAAATACCATTGGTAGCTTGATAGGGATTGCATTTAATCTATAGGTTGCTTTGGGTAGTATGGTCATTTTCACAGTATTGATTCTTCCAATCCATGAACACGGTATATTTTTCCATCTATTTGTGTCCTCTTTGATTTCTTTCATCAGTGTTATATAGTTTTCTATATATAGGTCTTTTGTTTCTTTAGGTAGATATACTCCTAAGTATTTTATTCTATTTGTTGCAGTGGAGAATGGTATTGTTTCTTTAATTTCTCTTTCTGTTTTCTCATTTTTAGTGTATAGGAATGCAAGGGATTTCTGTGTGTTAATTTTATATCCTGCAACTTTACTATATTCATTGATTAGTAATTTTCTGGTAGAGTCTTTAGGGTTTTCTATGTAGAGGATCATGTCGTCTACAAACAGTGAGAGTTTTACTTCTTCTTTTCCTATCTGGATTTCTTTTTCTGCTCTGACTGCTGTGGCCAACACTTCCAAAACTATGTTGAATAGTAGTGGTGAGAGTGGGCACCCTTGTCTTGTTCCTGACTTTAGGGGAAATGCTTTCAATTTTTCACCATTGAGGATAATGTTTGCTGTGCGTTTGTCACATGTAGCTTTTATTATGTTGAGGTATGTTCCTTCTATCTGCTTTCTGGAGAGTTTTTATCATAAATGGATGTTGAATTTTGTCAAAGGCTTTCTCTGCATCTATTGAGATAATCATAGGTGTTTATCTTTCAATTTGTTAATGTGGTGTATTACTTCTAACTGAAATAATCAATAGTGGTAATATTTAACATTTGTTAGTCTTAGTTCTAAATGCTGTATGTAAATTAATCTGTTTTAATTCTTATGACTTCCCTATGAGGTAAGCACAGTTATTTTCCCCATTTTATAGTTGAAACCGAGGCTCAGAGAGTCTAAATGATTCATCATGGCCAGTAATGATGGATCTGGGAGTTCAATCCAGGTTAACCCAAAGTTTTTAAAATATGCACATCCATACATACATTTAAGTATATACTGGTGGCTCAGACAGTAAAGAATCTGCCTGCAATGCAGGAGACCTGATTTCCATCCCTTGGTTGGAAAGATCCCCTGGAGAAGGAAATGGCAACCAACTCCACTCTTCTTGCCTAGAGAATTCTGTGGACAGAGGAGCCTGGTGGAATACAGTCCATGGGGTTGCAAAGGGTCAGACCCAACTGAACAACTAACACTTTTACTTTCATATGTACATTTAAGTATATGCTTTTAAAAACAGAAGCATTATCTTAGAGCAGTGGTGTATTTCACAGACCACTTGGGTTCCCTGAGAGTCTTTCAGGGGTCCTGTGAGGTCAAAACCATTGTCTTAGTAACACTAAGACCTTTGCCCTTTTTACCTCTGTTAACATTTGCGCTAGTGGTGCAAAGGCAATGGAACTGAAACTGCTGGTGGCTTAATATGAATCAAGGCAGTGGTACCCAGCTATACTAGTAGTTTTTGGATTGGTGATCACCAAGCACTCACAATAGAAAAATTTCACTTTCACTTAAGAATATCCTTGAAGAAGTGATAAATTGTTTCTAATATTATTAACTTTTGACCTTTGAATACACTTCTTTTTTAAATATTGTGTGTGATGAAATGGGTAGTATGCATAAAGCATTTCTATATCTGCAGTATGAAGTTTCTCTTGAGGAAAAGTACTTGTGAGAATGAATCACAAACTGAACTGGCTGGGTTTATTTAAAATAGAATGCAATTTTTACTTGAAAGGATGACTGACAAAGCACCATGGAGTTGTTTATTGCTGCATAACAATAGTACCACAAACTTAGCAGCTTAAAGCAATATATACTTAACTATTTCATGGTTTCTGTGAGTCAGGAGTTAGGTTATGGCCTAACTGGATCCTCTGCTGGGTCAGGCTGCAATCAGTGTTTCAGGTAGAGAGAGCTGGAGTATCATTTAATACTGCTTCCAGGCTCACATGGTTGTTGGCAGTATCCAGTTCTTTGTGGGTTGTCAGACTGAAGGCATCAATTCTTGCTGCTGTCAACTGGAGACTGTCCTCAGTTTCTTGTGTAGGCTTTCCTAGCCTGACTTGGTTGCTTCCTCAAAGCCAGCAAGGGAAAGATGGGCTTTATAATGTAATCATGTACATCCTGTTACTTTTGCCAAGTTCTCTTGGTTAGAAGCAACCACAGGTCCCACCCACACTTAAGGGGAAATTAGACAAGTGTAAATATCAGGAGGAAATCATGGAGGCCACCTTTAAGATCTCTTTGGCACACACAGTGTTTCAGTACTCAGAAATACACAAAACCTGCCTCTCATGAAAGAAAACTGATAGTATTCTTGCCAATGATTAAATTTGGCCTTTGAAGCCAAAAAAAAAAAAAAAAAACCAGTTTTTGAAAGCTAGTATCTTCATTCTGAAATTATCATCAGTAATAATATGAGCCCTGGACTAATATTCCAAGGAACCTGGATTGAGAATGAAACTCTAATGCTGATTCTGTCTTTGTTCCTAAGTAGAGCATTGTCACAACCTCTATGAGCCTCCCTTTCTTCATTTCTAAAATAAGAACCTTTACCCAGACCACTGGATCTCAAACTTGGATCCTCTAAGTATCCACAGGCTGTTCTTTTTTTTTTTTTAATGTGGACCATTTGAATTTGTTACAGAATTATTTCTGTTTTATTTTGGGCCAAAGCCTTGGTTTTGGGGGAGAGACTTGTGGGATCTTAGCTCCTGGACCAAGAATCAAACCCGTACTCCCTTTATTGGAAGGACATATCTTAATCACTGAACCACCAGGGAAGTCCTTCCACAGACTGTTCTTAAGAATAGGTGTACCTAAAGATTGCAGACTACAAGAAATGCAAAAATTATTTTATTTTAGCTAGAATCAGATGAACTCAGTAATTTTCTCATGCTATAATAAGCAGTTTGGCATTTAGGAAAAACAAACCAAGGAATTCTCTGGCAGTCCAGTGGTTAGGACTTGGTGCTTTCACTGCCATGAACTCGGGTTCAATCCCTCGTCAGGGAACTAAGATCCCATAAGCTGCACAACAAGGCCAAAAAAAGAGGGAAAATGAAGGAAAAACAAACCATACACATAAAAAATAAGGAAACATTATTATTTAAATGCAGTTAGGGACTTCCCTGGCAGCCTAATGGTTGAGACTTTGCCTTCCAATTCAGAAGGTGCTGATTTGATCCCTGGTCGGGGAGCTAAGATCCCATATGCCTCCAGGCCAGAAAACCAAAACATAAAACAGAAACAATATTGTAACAAATTCAATAAAGATTTTTAAGATGGTCCTTGTCAAAAAAAACACAAATGCAGTTATATGAAAATCATTCCTTTGTTGGACTCAGGGAGGAAGAATAAGAAACTAGAGCTCATCCAAACTCAGAATTTTTTGTTTCTGTGGACACAGTTGTTTAATCAAAGCTCCTTAATCAGGTTCCCAATCCTAGGGAGCTTTTTAAAAATAGAGATTTTTGTCAGTTTGTCTGGAGTGAGACCTGGGCATAATAGATTAAAAAAAAATAATCTCTCCAGGTGATTATGTAGCCACAGTTGGGGATGACATATATTCTCAAATGAATTGAGAATCCTGTGTAAGGGGATTTTCTCTGAAATTTTTAAAACTGTCTTTAACCTCAGTAACTCTTTGGGGCAGGCAGGGAGATTATTATTCCTTTTAAAGTAAGTGTGATATATTTTAAACTGTTCAATATATTATTATTTTTGCTTTCGGAAGCTAATTATTTTTAAGAATTTTTAAATAATAAGTATTTTATATTTACCTACATTAAAAAATTAAGAGAGAAAGTAAATGTGATATCGTTTAAGGCACAGACTTTGTAATAAGGCTAACCTGGGTTCTAAATCCAGCTTCATCAATAACAAGCTGGGTTGTATTGGGAACCTTACTTAACCATACTTAACTTTAATTTGCCTATTTATTTGTATAAATAAATGTAAATATTTATATAAATATGGGAGATCATTTTAGGTCTTCATTAGTACTGCTGTGACAACTGCTTAATAGAATACTAGTAGTACAGATCTTCCTTGACTTACGATGGGGTTACATGCTAATAAACCCATCACAAGTTGAAAATGCATTTAATACACTTATCCTACCAAGCCTAGCCTATGTTAAATGTGCTCAGAACACTTATATTTGCCTACAGTTGGGCAAAATCATCTGACACAAAGCCTATTGTAATAATGTATTAAATATCTCATGTAATTTTTTGAGTACTGTACTGAAAGTGAAAAACAACATGGTTTTAAGTATATTGTTTGTTTGCCTTCATGATCACGTGGCTGACTGGGAGCTGTGGCTTGCTGTCACTGCCCAGTATCAAACCACATCTCACTAGCCTGAGAAAAGATCAAAATTCCAAGTACGGTTTCTGCTGAATCCTTGTCACTTTCACAGCGTCATAATGTGGAAAATTGTAGATTTGAACCATTGTAGGTCTGGGACCGTCTGTACTGTGAAAGAGGCAAGTATATTTTAAGTAGACAACAATTGGTGACTTTTATTTCAGTTGCAGAAGAATAACTTGAATCTCAGAAGTGACTTGGCAAAGGTTCCACAGTTAAATAAATAGACAGGTCTTCTGAATCCCAGTCCATCACCTTTTGTACTTACCGATGTATTTGGTATCTTTCTGAACTGCTTTATGAGATGTTAAAAAATCCCAACTGGAGAATTATTTTAACAAGTTATTTGTTGGTTTAAGAACATATCTGCTCTCTGAAATGATGGTGGTTAATTGACCAGAATTATCACCTAGAAAAGGACTTAAAGCATGAACTTTGGAAGAACTTTTGTTTAAGAACTGTTTGTGGAGTTGCTGGTGAATGTTTTCCATATTTCTCCAAATATTTGGGGAAAATACCTTGGAGTAAGATTGTGCTTGGTTACAATTAAGTAACATGGCTATTATTGATTTTATATAATAGATATTAAGGCTGAAATGCAGAAATCTGAGTGTTATGCCTCAAATTCTAGGAATGAATGGTTTGTGTAACTTCGATATGTCTCCATAACTTCTTAACAGTCAGTCTTTGTCAACAGAAAACTTAGTAGCAAAATAAAATTCTTAATACCTGATTGTCTCTCAGCTTGTAAGCACAAAGCACTCAAGCAAGATCCTTATATTCCCACGATAAAGGTAATAATATGTTTGGGGTTTGGTGTTGGGCGGGGGGAGGTTTAGAAGAAACAAGAGAATTTTGTTTTCTATGGATGGTTAGTATGATATATAGAGTCTGTTAATCAGGACTATATTTTAAATACACGTATCTGTACCTTTTTTCCCACCAAACTTTATATTGGAAACATTTCTTTTTGTCATTGGCTATTTCTGAAAATCATAATATTGCATGATAGTTTATTTAATTGATGTGACCATTCCACCATTGTTGGACATACAGGTTTTCAATTTTTGCAATTATAAATAATTTTCCACTAAATATTTTCATTTTCTTAGCATATATAAATGCTTGGAAATGAAATATTTAGAATGATTGGCTCAAAGGATATAAACTCATATAAAGCCCTCAGTAGATAACTGCCAAAATTTTCTTGCGGAAAAGTTGTACCAATATATAACCTTTACTTTGCTAGTAATATTATTTTTTTTTTCATTTTAACGGTTTATCTAAAACTAACATAACTTTCAGAAAAATTACAAATATAATCCAGAGAGTTCTCTTGTACTTTTTACTCAGTAGATGCTAATTTTGACAGCAGGTAATAATTATCTTTGTTTCATAACTTATTAGTAATTGAATCGTTAGGTGTATATTTACAGTATTGATGTACAGTTAAATTTACCTTTATAAAACTTTGTCAAAAAATAATTATAACTTATTGCAGGATTTTACAAAGACTTCATCACAAGTTGAGTCAGATGAGTCTTCAGAGACATTCTGCTTGAGCCAGAGTACAATATCACTGTCTCAAGATGGATCAACAGCTTATACAGAAGGTTTGGTTTTGGCACTTTTTCCAAGCATAGTAAAAAAGATACTTGATGAATATACATATGCAGTGAATTTCTATTTTTAAGCCTATATCTTCATGTTACATTTTTCACATATTGTAAAATGGAATCTAGGGCTTCTCAGGTGGCTCAGTGGGTAAAGAATCTTCCTGCAATGCAGGAGACACAAGAGACACGGGTTCAGGGTCTCTGAACACAGGTTCAGAGCCACGGGTTCTCTTTCTGGGTCAGGAAGATCCCCTGGAGGAGGAAATGGCAACCCACTCCAGTATTCTTGCCTGGAGAATCCCATGGACAAAGGAGCCTGGCGGGCAGCAGTCCATAGAGTCACAGAGTGTCTGATGATCATATATGCATGCAAATTAGGGACACTAATTGTTCCTGAATACCTTTCTTAAGTGATTTTCTATAAAATCACATTTCATGATAGAATATTTTATTTCTTCTTATTAAATTGACTAATATATATTCTTTGAGCACTTTGTCACTTGGAGCCAGCCATGCACTGAAAAATTTAATAATTTCTGTGAGTCAAGGAAGTCCCTGGTACCCTAATACTGTAATTAAAAAAAAAAAATTGATTACTTGGAAGACCGTTAGTGTGAGAAAAAGCACATGGTTATAGTTGATTTCAGTTAAAGAAGAATTACAGTTCTTTGATTTATACAGTAGTATACCATGAAGAAGTTTTATCGAGTTGAAAAATTCCCTATTATCAAAGCAGTTATTGTTTCTATGTTAGCAAATTAAATGTATATCACTAAGTGGAGAAAGGTACACAGAAATTTTTGTGACTGTTTACATTGTTTACAAACAAATTAGTATGTATTTACCAAATCAAAATAGAAAGAATTTATAGTAATATGTGTGCCAAAAATATTTTCCCTTGACAAGACTCGGTTTGATATTCACTTATGTAGGCATCACTTATCTAGTTAGTAAAATAGCCAAGAACCAGAATAAATAAGGAGATGAAATAGATGTCTGAATTTTGATTTTATGAAGCACCATAGTCTTTAATCATAGGAAAAAAAATCTGAATTCTTAAAGCTTCTATTCTCTCTAAGTTATCATACTGCAAGAGTGAAATTTTGCCTTGATGGTAAATGGGTTATAGTTGATTAGAAAGAGGCTTGATCCTCTGTTTTTGCAGCCTTTATTAAGTCACCTAACCAATATCTTTACACCTCAATTCTCTCATATTATTAAAATAGATATTTTTATTTTCTCACGTAATGCATTCATTCTCCAGACCTGAAATCAACCATTTAGCTATATAATTTTGATTCTTGCTCTCCTTATCTCGGGGCTTTTTTGAGGCTCAGGTAAGTGAAAAGTGAGAAATGCATTAAAGCTTTAAAAGACAATAAACATTGTTAGAATTGATCTCAGTGAGGCAGCAGTGAGTGGTGGCATGAAGTGAGATCGGAGTTCCTTGCCCAGTAATTGAACCTGGGTAGCCTGGATTGAAAGCCAGGAATCTAGCCACCAGACCAGCAAGGGCTAGAAGCTATTTTTCCCTGGATCTTTGTCCCCCAGTGAAAAATGCAGTTATCACAGAGGCAAAAATATGCAGGTACGAAGTTTATTATTAGAGACAGCACAGCAACAAGTCAGAGAGCACATAGATAAACTGTTTGTTTAGTTGAGATGGAAGCAAGGCAGAGATGTACACCCAGAGAGAAAGAGTGTGAGTGTGTCCCCGTAGGAAGGAGTGCAGTAAAGAGGAGGTTAAATCATTTATATAGGTCAGTTCTTCTGGGTCTTTGTTTACCTTTAGCCAATTTTCTGGTTTCTTTTTCCACACCTGACCTATCCTAGGGCCCTCCTCAACATACATTAGCAACTTTTTCCCAAGATGGATTCTGGCCCAGAGGCCCTTAGCATCACATACTGTGGGGTGGTGCCCTCTCCTTTTTGACCCCCAAGGAGCCTTTCTGTACGTGTGAGATGTCTCCCTTGCCCGGAGGATGGGAAATATATGACCTCCTGATCTTTTAACGGGGTTTAGTTCCACTCTGTCCCTGCTATAAAAATGCCCAGTGTCTGGTTATTTACCCTCTTCCTGTTGCTGGTTTTTATATCATGGTTTAGATTTCAAAGCATAGATAGGAGTCCAGATTTCAAAGTATAGATAGGAGTCCAGTTATAAATATGTGGTCCCAGAGCCTGTTTGTCTCTTGCTTTAGGAACGGTAAACAAGGGCTAGTAATGAATGTCCAGCCTGGAGCTCATCTTCTTCTCACCCCAGCAAGTGTGAACAGGGGGTCAGTTATAAATCCCTAGCCTGGAACCCATCTGTCTTCTGCCTTGGAATGATAATTATGATAATATGTACTATATGTTCAGAATCATGCTTAATGGACCCCTGTCTAGGATGACCATAAGTTCTTGAAGAGGGCTGGATTTGAACTTGATTTTGAAGAAGGAGAATAGTATTTTTATTGATTCTGTTGAAGATAGTGAACAGCACAAGCCAAAGCCAACAGAGATATGTTGAATCAGAATTTAAAACTTGAGCTCAGAGTGATCTTATTTATTTTGGCGATTTATGCATGCTGTAAAAATTATTATATATAAAACAGCCTGTTGGATAACTGGTTGCCAAGTCCAAATAGCAGCGCCCATTGGTTGTTCAGTTAACCTGAGGATCTGAGAAGAATGCTAGTGTGATTACACAGAAATTAGTTCTAAGTACCTGCAATAAAACTGTCAGTAATTACATGTTTGAAGATGGGAAAGAAGCATTTCTGTGTTATTTGAAAGAATGAAATGCAGCTTTGACAGAGGAACCCACTGTTGCAATACTCTTTTTCTGGCATATTATCTATTCTGTTTCTCTTATTAGTGTAGAGTTGGAAGCATTGAGTTACATGCAGGTTTAGAATCTTTATCACAAAGTATGTGTGTGTATGCTCTGTCATGTTGGACTCTTTGTGACCCCATGGACTGTAGCCCGCCCAGCTCCTCTGTCCGTGGAATTTTCCAGGCAAGAATACTGGAGTGAGTTGCCACTTCCTACCCCAGGAGATCTTCCCCAACCAAAGATCGAACGTGTGTCTCTTGCATTGACAGGCGAATTCTTTACTATTGCTCCATCTGGAAAGCCCAATTATGTGTTATTTTCAAAAGGCACTTTTTCTGGATCTGGTTACAGCCTAAATAGCCCCACTTTTGCAAATACCCTCAATCGCGTAATTCTTTAACCTTTAAGGTTATGGTTTTCAAACTCAAAGCTATTCTTAGCAATGAAATCTCTATTCAAACAAAAATTTTATGTAAAAATCTAATTTAAAAAAATACGAGGACAATGTCTCTATCTGTGCCCACTGTATTCCCTAAAATGGAACCATTAGGCTCAGGGAAACATAGTTTGAAAGCTATCATACTAACTCCAAACCTTTTCATATGAATAAGTGAGGTATTGACATTCAAGATATTCGAGATTAGTTGATTCTACTTTGCCCGTAGGAATTATATAGTGTAAACTACCCATCAGATTGTTAAGTGGGAAAAGAATCAACTCAGTTTTCCATTAGATATCTTGGGACTTTTTCCAAGTATCTTAAGGAGTTTCTCTGTTTTTAGATTAGAATACATCACATGAATTTTTCAAACTGTGTCATCCATAATGACTGTTGTGCAGTTTCTACCTGTTGATCATACAAATTTTGATCATTCTTTATTTTCAGTTGTATGATATCATAGTTATATTACCTTTATTTCCAAAGTATTCTTACTTAATTTTAAGTATAAGGCCATTTTAGTAGCATTTGTAAGCAGTATTCTATGCTAAAGCAATTTCAAATACCTTTCCCACTATTTTAATCATTGTAGGTCTAGATGAAACTCTGTCTAAAATAAAACATTCTGATATTTCTAAAGTAAACACTGTTAATCCAAAAAAGCCAAAGACCAGCGAACATGTTTCTGAAATAAATCCTTGTGCTTCATTGTCTTTAATTTCTCCTTCAGCGACATCTTCCTGTGTCATGTTGTCAAAAGGTTAATAGAGAGCATAAAAAAGAAGCTGTATTATTTATACATAAATATCAAATTATTACGAATTTTAAAACTGCTGTTACTGGTTGGATTTAAGGTTAAAAAAGAAGAATTTGAGTCATAAAACTCCTTTATTTTAGGTTCACAAGGCTCACCAACTTCCAATAAAACTGGAACATTTTTTGTAAGAGCTTGTCCGAAGTGCAATGTTCAGTTCAATCTTTTGGATCCTTTGAAATATCACATGAAGGTAAAACTTTTTTGAAATTTGATTTTTAAAAATATTCACAAATCTCTGAAAATTTTAGTATTAAAATATTAAGGATTGATGTATAGTAAATGCTAATTTGTCCAGATATTTAGATAAGAAATCTTCTCACTGGTATTTTCATATAACTTAAGTAAAAATTCATATTCATAATGATACCTTTATAAGAGATTTTTAAAATCCTTCCAAATAATTAAATTTTTAAAATTAAGTTTATATACACTACATATTATAGTTAATTTTTAATGAAATCGTATACTAATCAGAATATTTTATTGATTAGATCATGCCATTCTTCAGACTTCTTATAAAGCAGGTCTTTTTATTGATGCTTAATCTTCCATGTAATTTCTTTTTTTTACATTATTTTCTGTCCATGGTGATATATGTATGTCACATTACTCAGTAAAAATCTTAGCTTTGCATTTTAACTTTGAGCACTCAGACATAAACTCCTTATGGTGGAGCATTTCATATGAAATGATAGCTTTAACTCACGGATTACAGTTTGTGTAGTGTTATAAATTAATTCTAGCTTTATATTGGTGTAAGAATCTCTTGAAATTAAGTTTTAGGTAATTTTCAAAGTGCTAAATGAAAATATTTAAAAAATATTTTTGTAGATACTGCACCGTTCTATGCATCTGTGAAAAGATAGTCTATTCTTTTTGTATGCCCAGTATAAATGGCAGGAAGCAGGGAAGGAAGCAAGAAAAATGGCAGTGTAGAAAATAATGCAGGAAAGAAAATTGAGAAGAGAGGAAGTTATGTAGGGAAAGTTGTTGCTCACTGTTTCAAAGATTGACATTTTTTGTTGTTGTTCAAATTCAACATTTTACCAAAAAAATGTAGAAAGAAAAGAAACATTCTAGAATTCCAAATACAGTCTCTTTATTCTTGTGCAGAACTGTATTTGGTCTCTATCACTGTTCCTAACTCCCTGAGTATGACTTCTGTTAACTGGACTTTGGGCTTTGGTTTTAAAAGTAAGAAGTAACTTCTACAGTGCTTTCAGGTTTTCTATTTATGTAATATTGTGTGGAGACACTTGGTGTTTTTATGTTTTGCATAATAAATGGAGAGAGAAAAGAAAAGAAAGTGAATTTGTTATCTTTATTTAATTTGGGAGTAATATGGTCACATGATTCAAAAAGCACAAGAGGGAATACAATGAAAAACATCACCCCTGGTCCTGTTTGCCTAGTTCCCAGTACAACTCATAAAGGAAATATTAACTTGTTTTGTATCTTCTTTGATTTTCTTTCTGCATATACAGGCACATGTGACTGTTCTTATTTTTCATTTGTTGTCATACAGAAGTCATAGCATATTATATATACTTCTGCACCTAGGGAAAGTGGCAAACATTCTCTAACTTGTAGCTTTTATTGTTTGTTTGTTTGTAATTAAAACTGTGGGAGACTATATTTCCACATGAGTGAGCCTGTATCTCACTTTTAAAAGAAATATAAATGAGGCTTTTTTCTCTCTCTGAGGTTTGTTGTCCAGACCTGGTAGATGCATTTTTGGAAACGATTAAAGTAGAGCTTTCAAGCACTGAAAATAGAAATACGACTGGTGGAGAGAAAGGAAAATTGATTATGTTAGTTAGTAACTTTTACTATGGAAAACATGAAGGAACTTTGGAGGAAGACGAGAAGACTTACACAACCTTTAAATGCTACAGTTGCTTGAAAATTCTTAAAAATAATATTAGGTATGTAAATATTTATTTCTATTTCGATTTGAAAATTGAGTGCTACAGGTGTAAATATTGTATTTCCTTTTCTGTGTGATCTTAGATAAGCAATATTAACTTTTTACTGAGAATAAAGGCAGATTTTCATGTTGAAAAGCTCATCCTTTCTTACATGTTTAGGAGTTTGACGCTTGGACCCATTTAGTTGTATTTCTTTCAGATAGCTTAAGACAGGACAAAATTTATTTCAAGCTAGGGGAAATTCTCTCTATCATTTGACTAGGAATTTCCATGAGATATTTTTACTTTTTAACTGCTTCTGGTCTTACTTTTCCTATCACAGGAAGAACCACTTTATCCAATTTGACCTTTCCATGTCTGTCTTATTTAATATTCTAATTTTACAATTCATATTTATAGTTTTTAGTACATTGGCCTTGAGAAAGTGATTTTTTAATCTTCTTTAAAGTACTAGTTCTAGGCAGCATGTATGCTTTGATTTTATAATGTAACACATTTTCAAAGTAGAGATTTAACTCTCAATGGAATTCTGAAGAGTTATACATGTATGCTTTAAGCTTTAGAAATTTGTGCTTTACAATCTTTGAGTTATATGGCATATTACATATCTGTTATCCTAAGTGAGAGAGTAACAAGACTTATTGATTAGTATTTTTTAATTGGCTATATATCCTGACATTTTTCCAATATTTTATTATAAAAAATTTCAGATGGCAAAATTGAAAAAATTTTAGTGAACATACCTATATATTTATCACCTCAATTCTACCATTAACATTTCACTATATGTACATTGCTACATATCTATTTATCCATAGACCTATCTGATTTTTTATACTTTGCAGAGTGAATTTCAGACATCAGTGCACTTCCCTTAGGTGAGATGCATACATGTATATGTATGTCTGTACCTCTATTGTGACACACATGCATATCAACTTTTAAAAATATTTACCCTTGAAAACCATCATTTATAACTAGCATCGCTAAGTATTCTATAGGTAGGTAATTTCTAAGCCTAGAATTTATTTTATTTTCTGGTGAATTCTTGGGTCCAAAATGAAGTACTTACAAAAACACTGGAATACACTGTAATATAAGCCTAGAACAATTGTGAGTGCTACATTTATGACAGCACTTTATAGTTTTGAGAGACCTTTGACATATATTATTCATATGAGTTTTCACACTTCTTTACTTCCTTTTATCAAGCACTACCAGCTATCAGTTGTTAAGGGTCCCAGTAGGTTAATAGAAGAGAAGTTGTGGTTTGAGATATAACACTGAGACAGTGTTATGATAGAACTTTGTGACCTCCTTCCATATTATCACTCATAGTAAAATACAGTAGAAAATAATGTTAGTAGATTTGGCAAAATGCATAGGAAAGTGGTTCACTAGTTAAGTTTCTTGTTACGTGTGTGTATGTGTATACTCAGTCATGTCTGGCTCTTCGCAGCCCCATGAACTGTAGCCTGCCAGTCTCTTGCCTGGGATGTCCCAGGCAAGAAGACTGGAGCAGATTGCCATTTCCTTCTCCAGGGGATCTTCCCAACCCAGGGATAGAACCTGTGTCTCTTGCACCTCCTGCTCTGGCAGGTGGATTCTTTACCACTAATGCCACCTGCAAAGCTGAAATATTATGCATCTGATATTAGAAGTTCTTCCATCATTAGCTTTTTGGCTTTTCTTTAATGATATTAGTCCATTTAATATTAACATGAAGTTTTCTTTGTTTTTTTTGTTTTCATTTCAAAAGACTGACTACAGATTTCTAGATTATCAGAATATCTAGAAATTTTAAACTAAGCATATTTTGTAAAAACCTAGGAATGTTGTGGCATTTTGGACATACTTTTAGTGAATGAAACGGAACCAGTAAACATTGGATAGCCAAAGATGCTATATGTATTAAATAACATTTTACCTTAATGATTAAAAACTAGGACAGCACATTGATGGCTTTAAAGGATGGTAGATGTTAATAGCTCAAGATTTCTCCTCTCAGCCCTGTCAAAAAATTGTAGGATATTTTTTCCTACAATGAGTGACACCAAAACCAGTTAGAGCTATTTTATTCTGAGAATAGACTCACGAGGGGTTTTCTTTTTTTCATATCTCCATCTGCTGGTTTAAGAAGTGTGAGCTGCTGATGAGGGCAGGGTAATAACTAAGGAATAGCTAGTTGGTTAACATTTTTTTAATCTGGGTGTGCCGTGAGACATTCAAGATCTCAGTTCCGTGATCAAGTATTGAACCTGTGTCCCCTGCAGTGAAAGTGTGGAGTCCTAACCACTGGACCGTCAGAGACTTCCCAATATTATTTACACACATAAATTTTACTGAAGTTACAAGCTGAAAAGTTAATGGCTGATGACCTTTAAATGTAAATTCTTAGGCAAGACTAGGATTTTTAAAAAGATTTAAATAGAGATGATGTTAAAATGAAAGAAGGAATAAATGATACTTCAAAGCAAACCATGAACAACTCTAAATAGAAGTGATGTTCTGTAGATGTGAAGAGATAAATGTTAAAACCTCCATAATGATTATTGTCTAGGTTACAGACATTATTACTTCATTTCATGATTATTTCCTTTGGGGACTCGGTGACTAGCTGTTAATATTTGACCCAGACTAAAGATTGTAATTTTGATTAAATAACTTTACTTTGAAATTCAATAAAACATCTCAGTAAGCCCTTTGAAATAGATAAGCCTGTTTATATTGTACTCTGTGCCATTGAAGGTCATAGTTACTTCTCATAAGAAACATTTTAGGGAATCTGACAGAGCAGAATGTAGACCTGAAGAATGGACGGTAAGTGCTACAGAGGGAACAATCTGCGAGGTAGAAAGAACCATTTGTGATAACTAAACATGTCATTAAATAAAAAGATTCTTGTAATTATAGGTGTTAAAATTGCTGTTACATGCATTTAGAAATCAAGACACAAATAAAAATACTAATAATTTGTCTTCTAAGCACCTGAAAGCTATTGTATATCGCTGAGGCCATCAAGAGATTTCTCTCATCATTCTTTTGGTGGTAGCTGCTTTTGGTGGTAAAGTTCCCTTCATTTAGGTATTTATTTTAAAATGTAGATAGTATTTCACATACAGAAAAGAAGCCTGTTTTTCCTTACAAAAAAATTTTAATCTGAAATAATGGTGAAGAAGCTAATTAGTGGTATTAACTATATTAATGGATTATTTTAAAACAAAAGATGTAAACTGTTTACTGATGCACTTAATGAAAGTGATTATTTGAAGTGCACACTTTTCAAGAGGACTTGAAATGAGTCCACAGAGCCCTCTGATATCTTCCAAAGGAAGGTCTTATTACGAGACTGGAAGGGATAATCAGGGTGCCACCTGAGAGCTCTGTCCCTCCCCAACTTACGGTGTGGCCCACCAGAAATAAGTGCAAGTTATTACTAGCTTGTGGTGAATATGAGTGAGTCCCTGCAGTTTACCAGTAGAAACGACAAGATGGCTGTGAAAGCACTGGTGTCAGGCTCTGAAGCAAACCCACCGTGCCCAAGCCGAAGGGACTGCAGTCCAGGAGAGCCTCTCACAAGTCAGCAAAATGGAGCTGGGGGAGATAAAAAACCAAGGTCCCTTACAAATTAACAGAGATCAGAGTCAGATGTTACCAAGTGTAGAAAATATCCAGCAGCTCTAGAGGAAACAAATTGCTTGAGTTCCAGCTTCAAGGAAGAGCTAAATCATATGTGATCTCTCTTAATTGAACTACTAAAGCATTATATCAAAAAAAAAAACAAGAAAAAGTGACATTGTAAAGCCTTTGGAATTATAAGTTGTAAAAGAGCAAATAATTTGAATTGCAAGTGTGAAAGATCGAGAGGATTGATGGCTTTGGAGGTGTTACTGTGAGTAATGCACTTGCATTTTTAACATGTAAGTTCAGATACTTATTTGTGAGATTGGTCTTTGGTTATACATTTGAATATTTGCACCTGTTGACTATCATGTGTAGGTTTATGAACCACATGAAGCATCATTTGGAACTTGAGAAGCAAAACAGTGAGAGTTGGGAAAACCACACCACCTGCCAGCACTGCTACCGTCAGTACCCGACGCCATTCCAACTGCAGTGTCACATTGAGAATACACATACTCACCTTGAGTTTTCTAGTAAGTCACAGTTTTATTAAACTCCTGAACATGAATAATTTTGATTAGCTAACCTATCAGGCATCCTTAAGAATTCTGTTGGAAAAATAAGAATAAGAAATAGATTTTGTAATTTGGGGAAAGCTTGAAAGCATATTTTAACTTGTATAAACTTTTCAATACAATTACTTACTAAAGTTGAAGTTCTGCTTGTAAATTGAAATATCCTTGGCATAACTCATGCATTGTACATAGGTGGCAAATTACAAAACTCAGATCCCCTAGTTTGCAAATACGAAATAGGTGGTTTTCATTTATACTGTAATAAGAAAAGTAACTGCCTATTGCAATAGGTAAAATCACAGAGTCTGGAGTTAGACAGCTTGAATTCAAATCTCAGCTCTGACTCTTTAAAACGGCTGTGAGATGGCAGGCAAGTTACTTAATCTTTCTGGGCTTCAGGTCCCTTATCTGACAAAAGGGGATAAGGTTAACAGTACTGCTCTCAGTGATGGTATGAGAATAAAGCAAACTAATAATAAGTAAAGTCCTTAGAACAGCATCACAAAGTTAACAACTGTGAATTGTTGGAACTACTGTCAACACTACTGTTATTATTTGTTGTTGCTGTTGCTGTGGATATACAGATTGAATCTTTGATTTATATACATCCTTAAAATGGTGTAATGTGTGTTTTTCCACTTTCAGCTATTTGTAAAATCTGTGAATTATCGTTTGAAACAGAACCTGTTCTTCTGCAACATATGAAGGGCAGTCATAAACCTGGTGAAATGCCATATGTTTGCCAGGTACACAGACATTTTATTGTGTATCTATGTATTTGTTTAGTTTTCAGGAAATAGTACTGCTTTTTTGATTTTTTAAAACCATTTAAATAAAAATGAGTTACCAAAATGAAGAACCCCTTTAGTATTTGAAACTCTTGGTGTAACCCATGTATGTGTGGTAGTGGGTTGGATTTGATCTTTGGGTCATAGTTTGCTGACCCGTGTACTAGGCAGACAAAAGACCTGCTAGAGAAAGACAAACATACAGGCTTTCTTACCCTGTAGGGAAGACCATAGACATGCTAGAGAAATAGGAATTATTGTTAGTTATGAGGAACTCAAGGCCTTTAGGGCGGTATTTTTCCAAAATTTGACGTGGTTCCCAATAAGATAGCAAGATAAAGAGAAATTGCCTGTGTTATAACCTGTATGCTATTTAAAATCCAAAGAAGAGAATGCTCCATTTCATGTAACAGGAAGAACTTTATAGATCAAGGGGTGTCAGAGCTTGAAAATTCAAGTCAAGTTGGGGGATGGTAGATTTGAAAAGAAGGGAAGCTATGGATGTTTAGAAATATATCCCTAAACTTTGCAAGACAATTTTTCTGTTTCAGAGATCATGTGTATTAACTTGTAGTATCAGGATCCGTGGTTATATAGGCAGCAGAGCTGAATTTGTAGTACATAATATTACTCTAAACATATTATCTAGGGTGAAACAGATCACCAGCCCAGGTTGGGTGCATGAGACAAGTGCTCGGGCCTGGTGCACTGGGAAGACCCAGAGGGAACGGGTGGAGAGGGAGGGGGGAGGGGGGACCGGGATGGGGAATACATGTAAATCCATGGCTAATTCATTTCAATGTATGACAAAAACCACTGCAATGATGTAAAGTAATTAGCCTCCAACTAATAAAAATAAATGGAAAAAAAATATTACTCTAAACAAATGAGTTATTGTTCCTACTTTTATATAATTGCATATCGTTTATAATTTTTCAAGTTTAATTAACTCTTCTGTATACTTCTAGGTTTGCCAGTATAGATCATCATTATTTTCTGATGTAGAAACTCATTTTAGAGCAACCCATGAAAATACTAAGAACTTGCTGTGTCCGTTTTGCCTCAAAGTTAGTAAGATGGCAAATTCCTACATGAATCATTACATGAAGCATCAGGTAAGATGCAGCAGTTCTCATTTGTTCATTTTGCCTTAGTGAAAAGGTTATATATCTAAAACTTAGAACATTGGTTAGTTTCGTTCTAGAAGGAAAGCAAGTGAAGGTGTTAGTCGCTCAGGTGTCCAACTCTTTGCGACCCCATGGACTATAGCCCACCAGGCTCCTCTGTCTATGGGATTCTTCAGGCAAGAATACTGGAGTGGGTAGCCATTCCCTTCACCAGGGAATCTTCCTGACCCAGGGATCAAACTCAGGTCTCCTGAATTGCAGGAAGATTCTTTACCGTCTGAGCCACCAGGGAAACAGAAGGAAAGCAAAGTTGTTCCAAATAACACAATTAATTTACAATTTATGCTGAAATACTTGGGAAGCTTTCACTGCTTTTCCTTGTCTGCTTCCTGGTGGTGATGAGGCTCAGTAATGGTGAAATTTCTAAAAGGTAAGTAGAATTAAGCAGCCTAAAGTGGAGGAAAATTTAGTTGGATATTTCAAGGGTTTAAGAATGGTGAGAATAGGAATGATTTTAAAGGTAGTTAATCAAGACCGTGGGCTTCCCTGGTTGCTCAGACGGTAAAGACACCACCTGCAATGCGGGAGACCTGGGTTCCATCCCTGGGTTGGGAAGATCCCCTGAAGGAGGGCATGGCAACCCACTCCAGTGTTCTTGCCTGGAGAACCCCATAGACAGAGGAGCCTGGCGGGCTATAGTCCATGGGGTTGCAAAGAGTCGGACATGACTGAGCAACTGACTAAGCACAGCACAATCAAGATCAAGGAAAAAGATAAAGTTTTAACTGAGGAAGATAAGATTGAGGATTCATAATCTTTTGCATTCCTCTTTTCAAACTTTATTTCCACTTTCTCACCCATTTTTTATTATAAGACATGTGGTTGTCATCAGTGATCCAGGATGGTCTCTTGTAGCAGCCAGTGACGAAGGAAACAGCAGTGACACATTTGTAGTTGTGAACTATGACAAAGAACTGTCTTTAGGTTGTAACTTGTTTCTTGGATGACTTTGGACCCTTCTATTTTGTAATTTCTAGGATATTGGTACTAGTGCTTGCTCCTTTCCCTTAAATTTTCATTTTATGCTTGCTGGTTCTTTACCTGACGCAATTAGACCATCCTTTATGTGGACTGAAAACTTTGATAAAACAGTGAGCCTATTAAGTGTTTGAAAGAGCAGTCACACATTTGCCAAAATCAGAAGTCATTGAATTTACTGAATCTGATTACATAATCAAGTTTTTTCTTCTCACTGACTGATCAGTTCATCACATTTTCTTATTATCAAATGCATTATCATGGCCATTTTTTTCAGCAGTTGTGCTAATGTTGCTTTCAGTTCCAGTCATTAGATGATCATGAAATCAACTTGTAGGTGTTAGTTGGGAAAAAATTATAAAAATAGAGTATCCAAATACATTCAGGATCACCTTTGTTGTGTCAACACGCTTGTTGTTTTGTTTTGTTTTGTTTTGTTTGGTCCTGGTATGTCACCTCACTGTTACAAACCTATAGCAAAATCTTTCTATTCAAGTTTCCCCAGCAGTGTTCCATCAGATATCAAGTAAATGATCTACTCTAAAATTGTTCCTGGAAAAAGAAATTCAGTAAATGGCTGAACTTACAAAATAGCTTTTTATTTTTAATAGAATTTTTCAGAGCTTTTCACATGCTAAAAAATAATTAAAAGATCATAAATTTCCAAGCAAAGAAATGGTATATATTGTTTCCAAAACTTATTTAACCATTAAATCCTTTATTTGCATAATACATTTTAACATCTCTTGAGGAATAGAGCTTGTGAAACACTGATCTTGATGCTCTCTGTTTTATCTTTTGACCTTTGATTTTGAAAGAAAGACTCAACAAACATGAGTTTGAGCATATTCTGGGAGATAATGAAGGTCACAAAAGCCTGGGGTGCTGCAGTCTGTGGGGTCTCAAGGAGTCAAAAACAACTTAGAGACTTAACGACAAAGAGATATAAAGCAGTAGCTTCATTTTATTGTGAAACTTTTAACGTAGCTCTTTTTCTTATGCTTTACTAAGCTCCAGAGTGAGGTGTGGATGTGGAAAGAGTAATAGATGTTTAGAAAGGTAAAGAGATGGATGGGCCTGCTATGTGGACTGTGTTTCCCAAGTGGTTTAACCCAATCTGTAATCAGTCTTCGTACTGTGAGTTGTGTGTCTTAACTTGCCAATATATAGGAAAGTGTTAACTCAGCAAGTCTGAGTTGCTCAAATCATGCACATTTTCAGAAGGGCCTACTTGTATAACTGGCCCTTGGCTAACTCTTGGAAACTGAGCTTCTGTTATTAACTGATTAAGTGTTTTACATGCCTGAAACCTTGAGCCATGTTGTACCAGCTTTTCTAGCTCATTTGTGCAATAATATGATTGTGGTGACCTCCTGCTTTTCTTCTGGGAGTCTGAAGATTAGGTGACTGAAGCTCATAAAAAACCCAGACTTTTAGACTCAAAATATCTTCCTTAGAAAACAAAACAGAACCCCAAAAACTTCACACTTGTTGCTACAGTTGGTTGCTGGGAAATTGATGAGCGTGTCCTGTGCAACTCCATTGGGAGAGGGCACTTGGAAACTGGTATCAGTATCCACCAGATTTCACCTCATGCACTTTTTTCCTATATTCCTGTTCTGTAGCCTGTCACTGTAATAAATCACAGCTGTGAGTATAACAACTTTTAAGCCCTATAAGTCCTTCTACTGAGTCATCAAACCACGGAGTACTGATACACCATGGGTGCCCATTTGTTTTATAAGTTTGGCATACCTACGAGGTAGGCAGTCTACAATCAGTAGAGGAAAGAATCTATTACTAAGGATCATCAGACATCCTTCAAAGTATTTGCAGTTTGTATAATTGTTCATGAAAGACTTGAAAATTATAGCTGAGCAAGTTTATAAGCTTGTGTAATTAAGATGCTATTAGGGCAATTTTAGACAATAAGAATTGTTAAGTTCTTTATATAAATATGGGTCATTTTGTTCTTTTTTAAGACTTTGGTTGTAACCTTTTCCTTAAAATAATATGTTATTATGAATTGAGTGATTTTAGAACCAGCAATAGTTTGTACAACTTTTAAGAAATAATGAAGGATTTCACTTGTGTTAAATAGCCTCATTAGATCTTTATAGTAATAACAAGCAGTTAACATATATTTATCACTTGCTGTGTGACAGTCACTAGTGCTTTTACTTGGATTATCTTTTTTAATCCTCACAACCACTTTATGAAGCAGGTATGTAATCATTTCCATTTCACATACAAGGAAACAAAGCTTTAGAGATAGTTAAGTTAATTTGCCCAATATCACATTCTCTAATAATTGGCAAAGCCAAAAATTGACCTATGGCCCAAACTTTTACTTCAGAGTCATTCTTTACTGGCATTAGATCTAAAGGCAGGTATTACAGATAGTCAGAATTAGCCTTGAAGACCCTCTGATCACCCAGACAATAGGATATCTTTGTCAAAAAGTTCAATACAGTTTTTTTCTCTATCCTTGGGATAGGTCACCATTTTTTGGTTGAACATCATGTTATTTTAAAAATGTACTGTATTATTCTTAGCACATCACAAGCATACATGTAATAAGAGATATGAAAGACTTGAGTTCAACTAAGGGAATCTTCAATTAATGTCCTCATCTCAGGGCTCTGGGCAAATGCTCAATGAATGGAATGTCAGATATTTCGAACTAGTTAATTGTTCCTGCTTCTCGTATGTACTGTCATTCTCTTGCTGCCTGCCTCACTGTTTATTTAACAGATACTTAATTTAGTGCCTAATATATACCAGAGACTTTTACAGAAGTGAGCAAAACAATTTGTGCCTTCTGAAATTGGCATTATGGGGGTGGGGAGAAACAGACTGAGAATGCATATTATGTCTGAATGTATGTGTATTCAAGCACATGATAAGTACCATAGGAAAGAAATACAGGAGGCAAGGGAATACCAGGGCTTAAGAAGTGAAAGAGCAGGTTTTTAAAAAAAAAAAAATACATATATATATATGGGATGGTCAAAGAAGTCTCTCCAGAGGAATTAAGGGAGTAAGCCATGTGGCCATCTGGAAGTGAATGTTGCAGGCAGAGGAGCCAGTCGGCAGTGAGGTGAGCATATATCTAGATGTTCAAGAAGCAACAAGGAGGCCAGTGTGTCTGGCACATGGTAAAAAAGTGAGAGGAAGAGTAGTAGGAAATGAGGTTGTAGCGAGAGAATGTGGGGAAGATATTGTAGGTCCTTGGAAGCCACAGTCAGGATTTGGGAGTGTTACGGAAAGCCATGCTTAAGCACGTTCGAGATCATTCTGGCAGCCATGGAGAGAAGAGATTGTTGGGAGAAAAGAGTAGAAACCAGGAAAAGGTAGGAGACTACCATGAGAGTCCAAGTGAGTGACTTGGACTGATCTGGTGGCAGTGGTAGGAGGTGATGAAAAGTGGAAAGATTATGGTTTTATCAATAGAGTGGGTGTGGGGTGTTGAGAGAAAGAGTTGAGTGACCAATTTCTTTCATCCTGAGCAGCTGCAAGAGTGACATTCTCGTATATTGAGATACTGGAGACACTAGGGAAGGAACAGATTTTTTGCAGGGTGGATGGGGGAAAATCTGGAGTTTAATTTTGTCCATGTGAATGAAATGCATGCTAGATATCAAATAGTGATGTTGAGTAGGCAGCTGGATGAATGCTATTTGAAATCATGAAATTAGATGAGATATATAAGTACAGAGAAGAGATTTCCGGCAGCTCTATCTGAGCAATTTTCTGTCATGCTGTTTTGCCATCCGCTTCTTGACTGAGTTTTTTTTTTTTCCCTCTTTCCCCTCTCTTGAGCACATACAGGTGAATTTGTTTATGTTGGCTGTACCTATGATATAATGCAATTAATATTACTTCTAAATAAGATGAAACCAAAATAGTAATACAAATACATTATAGTTATATAGTGCTTTGAACTTAGTAAAGAATTTGTATTTCTCCAGTGCCTGTTATGCACCAGTAATGTCTAGATATTTTCATATATGTGATCTCATTGGATTTTCCTAAATGGTTACTTGTGTTTTAAGTGAAAATGATGAGCCTGTGGAAACACACTTCTAGAGAAAACATTCTTTGGTATCTGTATGTTGTTTCAAATTTACAAATAAATATAAAATGCATCTTTTAATGGATGAGTGCATGTACATAAAAATTACAGTTGCTAATATGTAGTAGAAAAACCACTAAGTAGCTATGAGTAAGTGCTTTACATCTCTCTTGGGTCCTGTTTCCTATTGGTAAAATAATAAAAGGACCAGCTTTGAGAAGGAACATGGTCAAGGAGTTCTCAAATAGTAGATTCAGATCAGTTGTTCTGATTTATGCTTCCATAGCCATGCTGTCCAATATCATAGTCACTAGCCACATGTGTCTATGTAAATTTAAATTAGTTTAAAATTAAAATTTAATAAAATTTAAAACTCCATTCTCTGTTGCACTTGCCACATTTCAAGTGCTCAATAACCACATGTGGCAGTGGATACCACTTCAGACAGTGCAGCTATAAAAGTCATCACTGTTTAAAGTTCTGTTGGACAAACATTGCTTTATACAACCATTCCTATAATGTGACTCTTTAGGGAGTTATCTGGTTAAATTTGCTTAATTTTAGAAAGTTCAATTTATTTTACCAACTTGCAAAACAAATGGAAATAACAAATTATTGATCTTTCCAAAAATAAGTTGTAATATAGCTAGCTCATTTTCACAGTATCATATGTTTGAATAGTTTATTCTTCACATTTATATTTAAATAAACTCATAGTATAAATAGCATAGGACTTGTCCCATTGTAATCTAATTGATATAACTATCATATTGATTACCTGTATTATAACAAATACTTTGAAACCCAAATACTAATGTAAGAAGTACTTTTTAAAAATGAAATGTTTTGGTATTTATGATACGATGTGGTAAAATTCTGGCTTTTAAATTCTTAAGCTGTTAGAATTAAGAGCAATTTCTGATCCTGGGATTTGTGGTGGTAGAAATTATTCTTTCTAATATTATTTCTAATATTTTCTGTAAACAGAGGAAAGGAATTTATCGTTGTACACAGTGCAGACTGCAATTTTTGACCTACAAGGAGAAACTGGAACACAAGTTTGAACATCGGACATTTCTAAAGCCTAAAGAGCTAGAAGGATTGCCTCATGGTACAAGAGTGAGTTGTGCTTTTTTTCCCCTGGTGTTTTCCTTTTTTTACAGTTTTTATTTTTGGCTTATTTATTTTTAATTGAAGGATAATTGCTTTACAATTGCTACACAGTGGTGTTGGTTTCTGCTGTACATCAGCATGAATCAGCCATAGATGCTGCCCTCTCCATTTGTCCCACCCTCTCTTTTCTCCCGTGTCCACAAGTCCGTTCTCTATGTCTGCATCCCCAAAAGTGAATTTTAAATTGGTTGTATTCTAACGTTATATGACAATAGAAATAAATGCCTTATAATATTAAAAATTGATTTCTGGTTGTCATCAAATTTTTTTTTAGGTTTTATCATTCTTATGCATAGAAAGACAATTTTCTACCCATTGTTTTTGAGTTGATTGAAATGTGCTATATTGGAGCATATTCCTTTGTAGTGAGTGCAACTAGATTAACTGTAGACTGAGTCAATGTGTTGTTTCAATATCCTATGGTCTGTTTTTGAGCTTTTCCAGTTGGCAGCTTATATGTCTGCTTCAGCTGGTGAGGAATCATGTTTAACTTATCTTTGTGTCTCCAACATCTGTTATAATGCCTTGAATGCCATGGTTTGTTGAAGTTAGTATTATTGAAACTACTCTTAGAGAAGCAAGTTCTCTTGATTAACATTGCTGTGTTAAGTGAGCAAACATACATCTGACTACAAATTTCATTTTCCCTATTTGCCTTATGTACATCTGTTTTCTCTCACTTCTTTATATAAAGTCAGCTTTTGACTGTTTGCTCCAGTGGAGAGAGACATAATCCAAAGTGAAATAATTCCCAAACACTTACATATTTTGAGTACTAACCTTTGAATGTGAGTATGTCTGCTATTTGAGTTCATTAAAATAATGGAAAGCAGTGCTCTGAAGCTGTAGAGGGAGAGAAGCTATCCAGTATCTTTCCCTATAGACCATTCATTCCATGCTGGAAGAAGACATACAGAACTCTAATATTAGTATGAGCAGTGCAATCCTCTCTCATATCTTCCCTTATTAATGATAGTAATAATTAGTATAGTACAATATTATTAAAAATGATACTAAGTGTCTTGTTCAGTTCGGTCGCTCAGTAGTGTACGAGTCTGTGTGACCCCATGGACTACAGCACACCAGGCCTCCCTGTCCATCACCAACTCCCGGAGTTGACTCAAACTCATGTCCATCGAGTCGGTGATGCCATCCACTCATCTCATCCTCTGTCATCCCCTTCTCCTCCCACCTTCAGCCTTTCCCAGCATCAGGGTCTTTTCCAATGAGTCAGTTCTTCACATCAGGTGGCCGAAGTATTGGAGCTTCAGCTTCAGCATCAGTCCTTCCAGTGAATGTTTAGGACTAATTTCCTTCAGGATAGACTGGTTGGATCTCCGTGCAGTCCAAGGGACTCTCAAGAGTCTTCTCCAACACCAGAGTGCAAAAGCAGCAATTCTTCGGTGCCCCGCTTGGTAGCACTTCAGAATTAAGTTTTCAGTGTGCTTTTTCATTCATTCTATTATTTAATCCCTGGAACAAACCAATGAGGTAGAGAAGGCAGGTATTATTCCCGTATTACAGATGAGGAGGCTTAGAGAGGATGTTACTTACTCAAGGTCACATGGCTAGGAAGAGGTAGTATTGAAAGTTAACCTCAGGTTTTTTGACTCCTATTTCAGCACTTTTTGTATGATACTAAGCCACAAGTATTTCATAGGCCTTCCTCATTTGCTGTTCCTTAAGTACATGGCAGTAGTATAATCAAGTTATTAAAGAAAATGTTACTAGGTGACTGTTTTTCACTATTAACCAAATGGGTATAATCAAACATTTATTTTTCTGAATATTAACTGATAATTTTTTTATTAGCTCCCTCTCAGAAAATTCTGAGTATTAATTAAACTCTCCATGCTGTATGATGAATTGCGGTAACCGCCAGAGTAACCTGTGGAACCGTAAATCCTGCTCGATGAACTCCCAGAGAGAGCAGGTCACATTTACTGGAGATCTGTTCATTTGTTTTTAGAGGGGTGTAGGTTCTTTTTTTTTTAATTGATGTATAATTGATGTACAACATTGTATGTTTTGAGTGTGACATAGGATTCTGGAGATCTGTTTTATAGTTACCAAGGAGTAATGCAGGCCTTTCCAGAGTTATCTCAGGATTTGAGATTTAAATTTTGACCTCTATATTTGCAAATATAGCTATTCACTTATATCGGAACATAAAATAGCCATAGGATGAGCTCTTTTGACCTATTAATATTTCTGTTAACATATAAATGCCATCAATACAAAACCAGTATTACAACAGTAAATAAATACTGAGGTGAATTTCATTTAATTGGTGTGACTATAGAATAAGAGCTGACTCATTGGAAAAGACTCTGATGGTGGGAAAGATTGAGGGCAGGAGAAGGGGGCTACAGAGGAGGAGATGGTTGAATGGCATCATCAAATCACTGGACATGAGTTTGGGCAAACTCCAGGAGATAAGTGAAGGACAGGGAAGCCTGGCATGCTGCAATCCATGGGGTTGCAAAGAGTTGGACATGATTCAGTGACTGAGCAACAACAACAATTTAGAATAAATTGGAGACTTCTTTGATTGTAGTTTATACTTAGATATTTAACTTTTTGTATGGCGGTGATTTTTTTTCTGGTAACAGCTTTATTAACATGTAGTTCATATACCATGCATACAATTTACCCATTTAAAGTATACAATTCATTGGTTTTTAGCATATTCACAGAGTTGTGAAAACATCCGTACAATCTATCTGAGAACATTTTGTCATCCCATATCCATTAGCAGTCACTCCCAATTTCCCCTCCACAACAACAGACAAACTTTAACCTGTTTTCTGTCCCTATGAATTTTCCCATTCTGGACATTTCATATAAATGGAATCATATAATATCTACAATATGTGGTCCTTTATGGCTGATTTCTTTCACTTAGTATAATGTTTCTGAGGTTCATCCATGAGGTTCATCCTGTAGCTTGTATCAGTGCTTCATTCTCTTTTAAGGCTGTATTAGTACTTATGTATCAGTACCTTTATGGCTGAATATTATTCCATTATATGAATATACCATATTTTATTTATTCACTCATCAATTGGTGAGCATTTGGGTTGTCTCTATTTTTTGGCTATAATGAATAATGCTATCAGGAAATTTCATGTGCAAATTTTTGTATGAACATTTCCCTTGAGTGGAATTGCTACGAGTGGAACACCTAAGGGTTATATGATAATTCTTATGTTTAACATTTTAAAGAACTGCCAAACTGTTTTCCAAAGCTACTGTACCATTGTACATTCCCACCAGCAATATATGAAGGCTGAAATTTCTCCACATCCTGTCAGCACATGTTGCTACCTGTCTTTTTCATTATAGCCATTTAGTTGGTCTAAAGTGATGTATTACTGGAGTTTTGATTTCCATTTCCTTACTAATGATGTTGAGCATCTTCTCGCATGCTTATTTCATATGTATATCTTCTTTGAAGAAATGCCTATTCCGATCATTTGCCCATTTGTTAATTGGGTTGTCTTTTATTGAGTTGTAAGTTATGCTGTATACATGTGCCTTATTAGAGATATGACTTGCAAATATTTTCTCTCATTCTGTGGTCATCTTTTCCCTTTCTTAACAATGTCCTTTGAAGTACAAAAGTTTTCATTTTTATGAAGTCCATTTATCTGTTCTTTCTTTGGTTTCTTGTGCTTTCAGTATCATACCTAAGAAATCATTGCCTAACCCAAGGTCATGAAGATTTACTCCTATGTTTTCTTCTAAGAGTTTTACAGTTTTAGCTCTTACAGTCTGGTCTTTGATACATTTTGAATTAATTTTTGTATTTAGTATGAGGTAGGGTCCAAATTCATTCTTTTGCAGGTAGATATCCAGCTGTCCTAGCACCATTTGTTGGTAAGACTATTGTTTCCCCCCTTGAATTATTTTGGCACCTTTGTCAAAAACCAATTATGCTTTGCATAACGTGTGATTTTTTTAATATTAATGTGATGATTAATTTTCTAAAAGTATATATTACCTTTATTTTTATAGATCACTATCCGAGCTTCAATTGAAACTGTTCATTCAGGACCATCAACTTCCAGGAGTAGTCCACCTTCCGGTAGCTCTGCAAGCACTTCTCTTCAGACCTCATCTTCAAGGTCTAAAAGTACAATTACTGAAAGTCCTCTAAAATTTAGTGCAGGTGAACATAAGACAAAAAAGTTGCATGCACCTGCATCCCCTGGAAGTAAACCTAGTACAAGTAAGCAAGGTAGAGGTGCAGGTAAAGGCAGAGCAAAAACCTCTTACAAGCCAAAGAAAAGACCCCACAAGAAGAGTAAACTCAGCGTAGCTTTGAAGAACTTAAGGTAATATCTTTTATTCCTGATACACATTCCTATTTCAATATTAATATTCAAGGTTATTTTAATATAGCTTACCATATCACCAGATAATGCACATTTACATGATAATCACTTATCTGGTATAAAGGCCAAGAAAATAAAAAGATACTTTTACTACTGCTGAACAGAACTTTGAATTACTGTACTTATTTTATAATTGCCATCTTCTACACTAATCTTATAATTTGTGCTTACATCTTATGATAGTTGAATTGGTTTATGTGATCCTTTTTATTCCAAGGAAACATTAGCTGATATTAGAGTTTTTACTTACTCTAGCTTATTGTTTCAAAGCAGATTTTCAAATTCCAAGTCTCTATTTAAAGATTTAATTTAAAAGTCTTGGCTCCAATTAATAAAACATGAATAAGTCTTTACCTTATTTTTTGGTTTTACAATATATTTTTATCATTTTTTTCTGTCTCCATAAGGTTTCGTCGGGGACTATACATGTGCATTGAATGTCATTCCAAAATAAAAGATTTTGCAAGCCACTTTTCATTATTTATGCACTGTAATTTTTGCAAATACAGCACTAACTGTAACAAAGCCTTTGTAAACCATATGCTGAGGTGAGTTAAACATGTACACGGCCAGTCATAACTACCATTCAAGATAACTTGGTTTTTGAAAACAAAGCCACTTTGTCACATCAAGGATCTAAAAAGATCTAGCAACAGGGAGCTTCTAGGATATTACCCAATATTGTTTTCCAGCATAATAACTCATGAAATTAGTGGGACAAATTTTTAGGAACAGTTAGGCTAATGAAATTAGAATAGGTTTAGTAGGGAAGTTATTTTTCTAAGTCTTTCAAAAAGTGGTCCATAAAATTTCAAATGTTCCAAGATATCTTATCAAATAAGTGCATGTAACTATGCAGTGTCCCTCACTTCAAAGCAATCTCTTTTACATTGCTGGTGGATTCTTTACCAGCTGAGCCACCAGGGGATCCCCAAAGCAATCTCTTTTAGCGACTTCAGCTTTGTCAGAAATGCTGGGAACATCATCAGGGCTCACATGCTCACTCTCTTGTGTTCTTTATCGCTCATTCTCCCTCTAACCCATCTGTCTGTCCATTTGTTTTTCAAGGCCTCCATCTTTGCATTCATTTGATGAAATGTGAAATGAGACTGCAGGAATAGTCCAGTCATTACATTACTGTTGGAATTCTTTTTCATATATCAATTATTTTACATTATTTGAGCACCTACCCTGTACTCTATGCTAGAGAAACACTTCAAAGCCCACATTACTTTCGTTTGAGTCTTATTAGTACTGTATTCCTGCAATATGGATTTTTCTAAATAAAAATTGTTCAGATATAAATATGCTAAGTTGATTATTCAAATGGAGGTAGGTCTGTTTATTTTAAGTCAGAAATAAGATATTACCAATAAAAGTGGTTTCTTATATAATATATAATTAGCTTATATAATAATAAAGGTCAAGTACCTTTATTCTGCCTCTGTGTTACTTTATGGTCATAGTTAGCTACCACTTTCAAGGATTTGCCCACAATTTTTAATGCCTTCAGCACTTAACTCTCCGTGTTTTTTCCCCCTTGATGATTCCTCAGCCCGACTTCATCGTACCTTGGCTTTCAATGCCCGCACTTCACATCCACCTCTAAGGCATTAAAAAATGCCACCATCCAATGTTACCTTATCATATACAATATATGTTCATTTTGAAATCTCATTACTTGAAGACTTTTAGTCTTGGCTCCTCCTTTCAGTCCAGTATCACCAAATCCAATCTTATAGTTAACTTCAGCCTCAAAGTCATCGGTTGTGAATCTTGCTTTGTTTTTTGTTCTAGAATCCTTCACCTCTTCAGCCATGCTTACTTTGCTATCCTTGACTCTCTTACCCTTTTTGATCTTTCTCTTTGCTCAATTCTAGACTGTGCTTGATTTAGTTAGCTTTGAATCTATGACCTTTAATTTTAACATGGTCCTGTCTTGTCTTAAGAATACTTATTTGTTTTTGTCTACAACATCAGGATTTTATTCTAGTCTCTCAATTGTTAACCTTGCCCACTAATTACTCAGAGGTCTTTTTCATTTTTCCCAAGGTTAACCTTTTTGTACCTCAAATTTCTTCCCTTCATCCAGACATAATCTCAGAAAAAGACATGTCCACTTTTTCAAAGTTAGTTTTGCCCTTCATCTCCTCCATTTCCTCCATAATCTTATGCACCCTCATTTCATCTTTTTCTCTGTACCACATTCCTTCTGCCTACAAATATTTTCAGGGTTTTTTTTTTTTTTTTTAGTATGAGGGAGAGTTGCCTCTAATTTGCGTATTTTGTTGTCTTCCTTTCGCTGTCAACATTTGTAAAAAGTATATATGACAAAAACCACTACAATATTGTAATTATCCTCCAACTAATTAAAAAAATAAAAAGAAAAAAAGAAAAAAGTATTCTTTCTTATTTGTCATTTCTTTACCTTTTGTAATTTGAATATCACTCCCATCTTAATCAGTTCAAGCTGCCCCTTTCAAGATTATCAGTCATGTCCTAATCACTAGATGTATTCACTGCTTTCATTCTTATTCTTCTGAGTTCTTTAAGAGTATTTGATACTTTCGATCGCTCACTTTTGAAACTCTTCTCAAGTTCTCCTAAATGATTACCACAGTTTTTTTCTTTTTTGCTCCTCCTATTTCGTTACCTTTTCTTTCTTCAGCTCTTCTTGCCTCTTTGCATTTCTTTTCTTGGTACATTAACCACTCTGAGAGTTTTATATTTTACCTTTCAACTTTAAATCCTCCAGTTTCAATGCTAAGTTTTCCTGAGATCCAACTCTTCGTCCTAAACTTTTTGATAGATCACGGGACACAAATAAGTCAAAACATTTTTGTCTGTCTAGGATCCAAGCTATTATTACCCCCTCCCCTTTAAGCTCAGTCTGTTTCATTGCATCGTTTGCATAAATGTGGAGCATCACCTGGAAATAATACACTTTTAAGTTTCTGAAGCCTATGGTGTTCTCTTGATATGGCACCATTCATCATGGCTTCCTGAAAATCTATCTTTCTGTAATTTATCACTCTGCCTCACAACTACTGCAGTGTTTCTGCACCTATGCCTCAGTTGTTCCAAACCAGAGTCCAGCCAACCTTTCTCTCAGTATACTCCTGGGGGGAATAGTGGTCTCTTATTCTGTGCCAAACACATGGCTGCTCCAACAGGGCTTTAATTCTGCCCTGAATTTATAAGAGATTAAATTGAAAATTGTCTTTGTATTCATTAAGTTCATGGATCATTCTGTCCTCTCCCATTTGCCATAGGCTCCTCAACTGTCTTGTGGGACCTCTGCCCCCATCCTACCCCCAAAATATCCCCAATTGGCCCTAGGCTTCCCTCATAAACTTTTCCTAATTTCCAGTGAGCCCCAAGCCTGCACTGCATCATCATCAGGCACACTTACTTCTCGTTCGGCTCATACAGAACTGAAATCCCCCACTTTGCTCTTCTGAGGGCTTTGTAAGTCTCTGTGTTTCCGCTGCTTCATTCTTGCCGTGCTTCCTTGGTTGCCTCAAGTACCTCCCCCCAATTGGATACCCTCACTCACTCTGACTCAGTGTGGACTTTTGTCATAAGATTGAGCTCTGTACGTACAGAAGCTTCGTTTTCTCAGAGGTCAAGTACCTTTATTCTCAACCCATATAAACTCTAACCATACCAGACAGAAGTCAAGCCCCTCAAAATAATTGACCTTCCCCAGTGTATAGTTTGTCCCATATGCCATAGAGTGACTTTTCCTTATTCTTTGTTATTCTTTGGCATGCGCCTCTCCCCTCTCATTTTACCTTTTGTGAAGTATCTGATCACTGTGGCCCCTCATAGGAATCAACTGTTTTTTTGAGTTCTGTACTGTTCAGCTATTCTGCCTCATATTAAATATGTGTCTGTCTTACCTACTTGACAGAGTGGTTCTTTGTATTCACCATGGCACCTATTCTGAGGACTTTGTCTTGGGAGGATAGGTAGTCATTCTTTTCCCATGTGTACATGGTATGTTGATGGATAGTTACCACGTGTCTGAGGATATCCATTGAATTGATGTGTTGCTTAGTTTGGGTCTGTCAGTGCAAGCTAGGGTTAGTACTTTTCAAACTTTAGTTTGTGTAAGAATCATCTGAAAAACTTACTGAAACTCATTTCTGGGCACCACCACCAGAGATTAATTCAGTAGGTCTGGAGTGGGAGCTGAGACTTTGTATTCAGTATTTCTAATAAGCTCCCAGGTGATGCAGATGCTTCTGGTCCTATGGACCACACTTTGAGTAATACTGTGCTATGCCGAAAGAAAGTGAAAGTGTTAGTCGCTTAGGCATGTCCAACTCTTTGCAACCCCATGGATTGTGGCCCACCAGGTTCTTCTGTCCATGGAATTCTCTAGGCAAAAATACTAGTGGGAAGCCACTTCCTTCTCCAGGAGATCTTTCCGACCCAGGGATCGGACCCAGATCTCCTGCATTAGCAGGCAGCTTCTTTGCCTTCTGAGCCACCAAGGATCCTGGCTAATTCTGCCTGACTTTCTAATACAGGAAAGCTTTCCTTATCAACTTAAAAGGCAGTATAGAAGCTGTTAGCATTGGCTGCAAAATTTGGTTAGTGGTTTTCTGTTCTGTGCATAGAGGAAGTAATGTTTTAACTCAAGTTCTGCTTCCTTTAATTCATATTCTTTAAAAGCTTTTCCAGTAGTTGCAGAAGATTCTTTAAGTATTTCATTTTGCTGATGGTAATGTCACTTGGCCTAAGAAACAGTTTCTTCCAGGGTCATTCATATTCTTCCCCAGGCTAAGTATATTAAGATTAGAAAGTAATAAATAAGTATTATTCACAACAGTTTATATTACAGCAAAATACATCATTAGCAAATAATTTTTAAATTGTTCTCAAATCTTATTAAGTGAAAAAATTAATTTGATGCTCTTTGCATGTTTAACTCAAGTTATTTTTTTATAGCAGTGAGGTATAATCATTTAAGATTATTCTCAGGGAAACATGTTGTTAGAAAATACAATGATAACATGAAATGTAAGATAAAAATCTTGAATTAAACAGAGATGCTAATAGAATTTTATAATTTAAATTGTGGTCTCTTATTCAAAACTAGGAAACTAAGCATAGGCTTGAAAAATTGTCATAAAATTAACTAATGACTTACTGTATAATAAAATCTGATTTGTCTCTTGTCTTTCCAGCTTTCATAGCAACCAGCCAACTAAACGGTTTTATATTTTTAAGAAACATTCTAGAGCTCTCAGGTAACTAATTAATCTTTTTTTTTATTCTCTATAGTACTTTTTAACCTGATGCTGGAGTGCCTAGTTTGGAAAATGAAATGATTGCTACTGGACATAATAGAATTCTATTCATTATATACTTAGATCAAAGAGGGGATTACCTAATATTCTCCAGCTAAACTTTGTTTCAGTTATATTAGGCATTAAGATGAAACTTTTCATGAATTTGCATTATAAAATTAAAAAATAAGGCTCTCCAGCAATATTTGAATATTTTAAAAACTTTTAAGATAGTTGACAAAGTGACTAACACACTTTTATTTATTTATTTTTTCTTTTCATTTATTTGTATTAGTTGGAGGCTAATTACTTCACAACATTTCAGTCACACTTTTATTTTTGAAATAAAAATACACAACTTGTTTACTATTCAGAGGAATTGTGAACATTTCTAAAGGATCGATAATTAATGTTGGTTCTACCACACACACTTAGCTTAGAATTCACTAAGGACCATTTTTTCACATTCTTCTAATTCCTTTTCACTCCATTTTCCTTTGGTTAATTATTTTGTTCATGCTATCATTGCTATTTGAGATACCAGTGTCAAGATCTTTATATTAAGAGCATCAGGCTAAGACATAGACTTAAGTTTAGCCAACACTTGTTTTAATGCTTTGGGTTAGTGGAAGAGGAGAAGAGGGATGCTGTGACTCAGGATCTTATATTTTGATCTCTTCTGCCTCGTTTGCTCTTCCCCAGATATCTGCATGGGTAGCTAGCTCTGTCGCCTCCTTTAGGTCTCTACTCCAATGAGTGAGGCTTTTCCTTGGCCTCCTCATTTAAAATACCATCCTTTCCCCAGCCCCACTCCTGACACTCCCTATTTCCCTTTCTTGCTTTGTTTTTACTTCATGGCAACTTTTTACTGTTTAATAGATTGTATATTTCACCCTCTTGTTTACTGTCTGTGCCTTCTCACTAGAATGTGGTATGATTTGGATATTTGGCTATGCCAGAAATTTGCTGGGCTTTCAGTAGTGGCCTGGCATATGGTAGGCATTCTGTAAATATTTATTAAGTAAATTAATATTGAAAGTGACATATGTGGAGTGTGTAATAGCTCATAGGAAGAGGAAAGTTTTATTCCATTTTTTAAAATATATCAGTGCAATTTTAAAACTATTGGTAAATTCAAGGAATTAGGAAATACTAATAAACTTTAGATATTAACATTTACTAAAAATTTTTTATAATAATGAAAAAGATGTATTAATTCTAAGGATGAGAATTTAATTTGATTTTTATCTCACTATTGTCAAACTGAGTTTGTGCACTTGGTTCTTAGATTTAATCGTACGACTTTTTTTCTCACACTGGGTGAGTCTCAAATTTAAACCGAAAATTGGTGATTTTCTTTTTTTTTTTTTCTTTTTTTTTTTTTTGGTGATTTTCTGTGTATGGGAGTTTTCATACTTAAAATTTTAAGAATAGTAAATTTATAATTGTTATTAAAATACAGTGTTCATTTTTAAATTCACTGTACATCTGTCATGTATAACACAAGGTAGCAAATTCTGTGAAGATGGCAGTGATGACTTAGGCTTGGTAACAGCCTTCAAGGAATGTACAATTTATAAGACGTGAACATAAGTAACTACAGAAATTAATACAGGGAGGTTTGTAATAAGTGCAATGAGAGTTACTGATTTGAAGAGAAAGAGAGGTTTCTACTTATAAGAAGAGGCACAAGGGCATTTTAGTTGGAAAAAGAGCATGAATGAAAATTAAGAAAGGAAAAAAGCAAAATATATACACAGTGAATGACAAGTAGTACAGTTTGGATGAAGCATGAAGTTCATATAACATAGTACTAAGTTCAGAGTCTGGGAATAGTTTTGAGCTTAGATCCAGATTGTGGAATCCTTGGAAAGGCCTAGGGAATTTGGACTTAATTTGAAGATGTTGGGAAAAACCATTGGTGCTTTATGTAGAATCAAGGATACTAAAGGAAGATCAATTTGGAGGGGTATACAAGGTGAGTCGTAGCTACATGAGGCACGTGCATGCATGTGTGCATGCTTAGTCACTCGGTCATGTCCAACTTTACAACCCCATGGACTGTGGCCTGCCAGGCTCCTCTGTCCACGGAATTTTCCAGGCAGGAATTCTGAAGTGGGTTGCCATTCCCTTCTCCATGTATCTTCCCCACCCAGGGATCAAACCAGAGTCTCCTGTGTCTCCTGCCTTGCCAGGCAGATTCTTTACCACTGAGCCACCTGGGACGCCCACATGAGGCGCATGGACTGATTAAGACTATTGCAGTAGTTAACGACTGATTCAGTAAGATAATCTGGGTTGAAGTGGTGAAGTGGTATCATGCCACATTTAAGAATATGAGCGCTAGAATCAAAAGGTTCAGTTTCAGACCTGGTCCTGATCTTGGTAAGTTACTAAACCTGAACCTGGCTTCTATAAAAAAAGTTAAAATTACAACATCTACCTCTTTGGGTTGTTACATGATATAGGTGAGATGATATATCTAAAAACTTCAGCCTACACAGAGTAAGTGCTCAATAAATTGCTAATATTGCATGTTATAAAGTTTTTCAGATAGTGACTGTCTTAAGGAAAAAAGAGACAGAAATAGCTACAGTTTTGAGCATTTGTGTCAGGGGCATGGCATCAATAAGGAGACCAGTCAGGAGGAATGAATGACTTTTCACAGGTAAGGAGGAAAGTATACGACTTTAGTTTGATGAAGATCATTTCTGATGAGACAACTCAGTGAAAATATACAACAGGCTGTTAAGAGTAGAGCTGCAAGAGAGAAGTTAGTCTAAGCTATGCTATGAATTTATTCCTATGTGGGTAAAGTACTTAATTTTGAAGTATTTAAATTTAAAATGAACTGCAAAAGTGTATTTATGCTTTGTTAATAAGCTAATAATAATAATTGCATGATTTATTTATGTTTACATAATTTATTTTTAAGACCTCGTTTCTTCTCTGATTTTATCATCATTTAAATAGGACATTAGATTGTAGGCTTCACAGAGTATCCTTTTTTGTTCACTCTTATATTTGTAACACAGACACATACTAGTAGTACAGAGTATGTAAAGAAGGTTCTCAGCAAATGTATATTGAATGGATGAATCTTGCTTTGCTGATGGACAAAGGCAGAGAAAAATTGTGCCTTGCACAAGTTATACAAGTTGTTAGTGGAGTCCTGATTGGGTTTTAGTTCTCTCTTCACTCATAGCTTTTAGAAAACACATGAGAGGGAACTGGAGAAGGAAATTGCAACCCACTCCAGTATTCTTGCCTGGGAAACCCAAGGACAGAGAGGCCTGGCGGGCTACAGTCCACAGGGTTGCAAAGAGTTAGACACAACTGAGCGACTAAACAACAGCAAGGAGCGGGAACAGCAGATAGAGCACTAAGCGTTCACATAATTTAGACATGGTTATGCCATTTTCTAGAGACATAGTTATACCATTTCATATATATCGGGCTTACATGACAAAATTTGGAAATGGTGGTCACAACACACACAAAAAAACTAATCAAGTTATTACATAGAAAAATAATAATTGAATTTGTGTATGGATTTTTTTTAAGGACAAAAACCTGTTCTTTCTTATTTTTTTTCATAGGGGCATTACTGTAGTGTGCCTTAAATGTGATTTCTTTGCTGATTCTTCTTCTCTCGATCGTATGGCTAAACACTTGAGTCAACGCAAAACTCACACTTGCCAAGTTATAACAGAGAATAGTATGTATATAAAATTGTGTTACTTTAGATCTCTGATATTTATTCCAGTGTTTTTGATCAACCACAGTATGGGCTCTTACATATTAAAATAATACTTTAATTCCTCATACATTCTTTTTTTTTCTTTTATTTTTCCCTCATACATTCTTTAAAAACATTTTATTTTATAATGAAATATAGTTGATTTACAATGTTATATTAGTCTCTGGTGTACAACACACTGATTTAGTTATACATATATATAGAGAGAGAGATTCTTTTCATTACAGTTTATTGCAAGATATTAAATATAGTTCCCAGTGCTATACAGTTGGAACCTTGTTCTTTATCTATTTTATATATAGTAGTTTATATTGCTAATCCCAAACTCCTAATTTATCCTTTCCCTCCCTTTCCCCTTCTCATTCCTCATATATTCTATTTTAAATGTAAAACTCTTTCTAATTTCAGTTCGTGAAAGTACCTCAGCTCTTGAACCCACTCCTATGTAAGTTTAATATTCATTCAGTGCATTTTTCTTTGATGGATTGAAGCACTGTTGCATTTACTGAATGTATCACTAACAGAAATTTAAAATATTAAAGTATTTTGTTTTTGTTTTTGTTTTTAAAGCCGCTCTTGAAATAGATTCCTGCTCTATGGAGCTCGTGCAACCTGGTGCAAGACAAGTTGGAATTTCCTAAGTTCAAAGTTCTGAAGTGTTTTCTTACACAAAGGCAGTTTCCTAAGTTCAAAGTTCTGAAGTGTTTTTTCATACAAAAGCAATTAAGCAGCCAAGTTCATGACACTAGTTCTCATTCTTCAGCTCTTTTCAGCTGTCAGATGGCACTAGAATCTTATTCCACCTTATCTTTGTGTCAGGTTAACATACCTTAACATATGCTTTTTTCCTGTTGGCTCTCTTCAAAAATAACTTCTGTTGCTATGGTCTTTTCTTGCTTTGCTTAAAATAATTCGTGTTTTTCTCCACTATACTTGCTTTCAGAATACTGCATTCCAAATGATGTGACTGTTCACCTTTCTTGTCTGTTTTGTCCGGTTTCTTAGTTAGTTTCTTAGGAGATTACATTACATTTTTAGGTCAGATAGTTATCTCTTTCTTCATTCCTTGTCTGTCATTGTTCTATTTTTCATATTTTTCAGATGCAGAAGCAACACAGAAATTTCAAATAAAGTCCAGGGTATTCCTGGTCAGTGTCCCCCTTCGATGGACACGTCTGATGCCTGTCCTCTCTTTCCAAGGAATGTGAATTATTTGACTGTGAGACCTCCTCTAGATTTTGGCCTTAAGAAATCAAATCTTAGGGAGAGTCCCTTCCTTCATGACTGGCCTCCCATAAGACTGATGCTAATTTGGCGAGAGATGACCTCAAGGCCCACCAAATAGAGCACAACTTTCTGCTGGGGGCTTTGGTTCTTGATCTTAAGCTTATCGGTCGATTCTGACCAAGAAAAGCCCATCAGATCAATGCTTCAACATCCAAGTTGAAGTTTAATCATTCTGGCTGCTGCCCTTTTATCTTCCTCTAACGTGCATGCAGTCCAGGGGAATTAAAAACTGGTTATATAGGGAACCAAGGTTACTTTTACTTTCATGTTCTTGGAAAACAGCTTTCTGATATTACAATTCCAACATCAGTTATTTTTACTGTTATTTAAAGTTGTTGCCAGTACTAAATCCTAGACACATTCAGCAATACTAATATTCAATTTTTTTAATTTTTTTAGTCTAATTATCTTGGTTTTATGTCGTCTTTGCCAAATTTATTAATGTCTGTTTTGTTATATCCTCTTTTCTTTCTTGTCTTTAAAACTTGTGTTCATTTTCTTTCATTAATAACTAAAAAAAATCCTTTGAATTCCCTACAAATTTTATGTATCTACCTATTGGCATCTTCTTAATTTGGTAATTATTCAGAGCACTAGATGTTATTACATCCACTGTCTATCTTGGAACTATTGTTATCTTAGTGATTGTGAGTTCAAAGGCATGAAGAATTGGCAAAGAACACTTCCTACAGACCTTAAAGCGAGTTTTAATGTTGCATTTCTGTACATCTAATGCATACTATCTTAGCCATTAATGTAATTCCTTTGGATAAAGATAATATATTCAGAAAATATTGGGACCAAAAATTGCACTTGTTTCTTGCCCATATATATATAGATGTATATTTTTTTTAATTTGGTGTTTGTTTATTTTGGTTACATTGAATATAGATTTGCTGAACAGTTTTGATGTCATTACTTATTTTTTTAATAAAATTTTTGAAATTTTATTGTGAAAGTGCCTCTGGAATTATTTTCTAATAAAGAACTTCGAATAAAAGTTGGTAGATTTTGTCATATATCTAGGAGCATTTCTTTGCTTTTTACATGGAAGCCTGATGAGGAAGGCCTACAGACAGCGCTTTATTGAATCCATCTTGTAGTTTTTCCTTCAGCACAGTTAAAAGCTCACTATGTGTACTTTAGGGACTCCCAGTGGTAAAGAAGCCACTTGGCCAATGCAGGAGGCGCAGTTTCGATCCCTGGGTCAGAAAGACCCCCTAGAGGAAGAAATGGCAACCCACTCCAGTATTCTTGCCTGGAGAATCCCATGGACAGAGGAGCCTGGTGGGGTGTGGGCAACAGTCCATGTGGTTGCAGAGAGCTGCACACAAGCACCCACACGCATCCGTCATCCATCCATGTGTACTTCTATAATTTTTAGAACTTTGAAGACTGGCATGAAGGTGGGCAGGCTCAGAATTTTCATCATGAGTGATTTTTACTCAATCATGAGTGAGTTTTATTTTTCCCTCTTAACATTAGAACTTCTTGAACTGTAATTTGAAACTTTGTTTGAGCTGCTATAACAATACCATAGACTGGGTGGCTTGTAAACAATAGAAATTTATTTCTCATTATTCTGGAGGTTGGAAGTCAATGAACAAGGTGCTGGCAGATTCAGTGTCTGTTGAGGACCCCTTCCCCTAGTTCATAGACAGTTGTCTTCTTGCTGTGTCCTCCACGTGGTGGAAAGGACAAGAGTTCTCTGGGGCCTCTATTACAAGGGCATTAATCTGATCACGTGGGCTCTACCCTCTAGACCTAATTAACCTAATGAGGCCCCACCTCCAATACCATCACAACTGGGGATTAGGTTTCAACATATGAGTTTGGCTGGGAAAAGGGGGACACAATTACTCAACCTATAGCAGAAACATTTTGAAAGCCAATTTCAGTGATCACTTTTTAATGTAGTCTACTCCTTGTAACTCAAAGTCAAAAGACTTGAACTTACTATTTTTAATTTTCCAGACTGATTTCTGCTGTAAATGGCTTTCCAAAATTTCCAAAAGTTGCTTGTTTCTGGGTGGACTTGGTGATATTCTAGTCTTTAGTTCCATGTTTGTATCTTAAGATGTTTCATTTACCATCTTTATACCCATTTTTTACTTTTCAAAAATCGTGGTAAAATTATATAACAAAATTTACCAGTTTATTTTCAAGTGCATAATTTATAAGTTAATTACACCAAGTTTTAAACTTTTGCCCAGGAATAACATGGTTTTAATGTAGGTTCTCTTTTTATATAGATTTTCTCTGCCTCTGTCGTAGTTCACAAATAGGAAAACCACATTCTTGCTATAGTAATTATTTTATTCAGGGGTGCATCTTTGTGTTCTTCCATAGGATTCTATTTCCACAACATATATTAAGTTCATTTTCTTAAGTATAATGCCCTTAAAATTCTGTGTCCTATATCATCATTTTTTTTACTTCATTTAAATAAAACATCTCAGTCAGTACTAAGCTTGCTTATATAGTCAGTTGGGTTTTAATTGATGCTAATGAGTTTTAGCTTGACAGTCTCATCCCTTTACTTTCAGGCTATTCTCAATAATTCTTTCACCTGATTCAGAAATAGCCATCTCACACGAGTGTTTCTTGGTTACAGCTGAATAAAAGGTGTAATTGACTCAGTTTCAATTTATCACTATTACTAGAAAAATAAACTCAACTACAAAGACTTGAGTTTCTTATTCTGTTTCCTCAAACGTTGCCAAAACACCTCTTTGGGCCTCGTTTATTAGTTTAGCAAATGTTTACTGAGTACTTCCTGTGTGCCTGACACTATTCTAGATGCTGGTAAAATTGAAATCTCTGCCCCTGTGGAGTTTATTTTTCAGTGTTGGAAGACACAACAGAAAATAAGGGAAGTATATATTGTGTTAGATACTGAACAATACTATTGAGAAAAGAACGGGAGGATAGTATGGATTAGTAGTTGCTGCTGCTGCTAAGTCGCTTCAGTCGTTTCCAACTCTATGTGACCCCATAGACAGCAGCCCACCAGGCTCCGCCGTCCCTGGGATTCTCCAGGCGAGAACACTGGAGTGGGTTGCCGTTTCCTTCTCCAATGCGTGAAAGTGAAGTCATTCAGTTGTGTCCGACTCCTAGCGACCCCATGGACTGCAGCCTACCAGGCTCTTCCATCCATGGGATTTTCCAGGCAAGAGTACTGGAGTGGGGTGCCATTGCCTTCTCTGGGATTAATAGTTGGGAGGTTGCAATTTTAAATTGGTGGCCCAGACAGTCTTCCGTGACAGGGTGACAACTGAGTTAAAGATGTGGAGGTGAGGAAGTGAGCCACTTGGGTATCTCTCAGAAGAGCATTCCAGAGAGGACAGCAAAGGGGAAATTGGAATCCTCACTCATTGCTGATGTAATGCAAAATGGTTTGGGCACTGTGGAAAACAGTTTGGTGGTTGCTCAAAAAGCTAAACAGAATTACCATACAACCTAGTAATTCCACTCCTAGGTGTATACCCAAAAGACTCTTAAAGCAGTGACTCAGTGGTACATGCATGTTCATAGCACTATTCACAATAGCCCAAAGAGGGAAACCAAGCAAATGTCATCAGATGAAAGGATAAATTCTAATATATTCATGGTGATGGTTTAGTCGATAAGTTCTGTCCAACTCTTCAACCCCATGGACTGTAGCCTACCAGGCTC